GTAAGCAAGTACTAATCTACTTCTGTGTAGATCTATCTGGATATTTCATATCAATGGAATCATATTTATGGCCTTTTGTATCTGGGTGCTTCCACTCAGTATAATGTTTTCATGGTGTGACTTATAGCAATGTTAATACCTTCTTTTGATGATTGAATAATGTTCCATTGTATTATTATTGAGCCATTCATCAGTTGATAGGAATTAGACTTTTTAACGTTTTTGACTGCTGGAAACAATGATGTTACAAACATTTGTGAACAAATTTTCGTGAGGGCATAGTTTTCAGTTTTTGGGGGTATACTCCTAGGAGTGGGATTGCTGGGCCAACTAAACTGTTTTTCCATAGTGGCTGCCTCATTTTATAATCCCACTAGCAATGTATGAAGTTTCCAATTTCTCCACCTCTTGCCCAATATTTATTGTTACTTTTTCTTTCTTTCTTTCTTTCAGATGGAGTCTCCCTATGTTGCCCAGGCTGGTCTTGAACTCCTGGGCTCAAGCAGTCCTCCCAAGTCAGCCTCTTAAGTAGCTGGGACTATAGATGCCTACTATATATATGCAACACAACTTAATTGCCTTTTTTAATACAACCATCTCAATGGGTATGAGGTGAAGTGTTTCTCTCTCACTGCGGGTTTGATTTGCATCTCCCTGATGACTAATGTTGTTGAGGCATTTTCCTGTACTTATTGGTTATTTGTATATCTTTGGAGAAGTGTTTTTTTAAAATATTTATTGTTTAGTTTTCGGCAAACACAACATCTTTGTTTGTATGTGGTGCTGAGCATCGAACCCGGGCCGCACGCATGCTAGGCGAGCGCGCTACCGCTTGAGCCACATCCTCAGCCCTGGAGAAGTGTTTTGTAAGATTCTTTGCCCATTTCTAAATATTGGGTTGTTGCTGGGTGCAGGGACACATGCCTGCAATCCCACAAATTTGGGAGGCTGAGACAAGAGGCTCCCAAGTTCAAAGCCACCTTAGGAACTTATCAAGACCCTGTCTCAAATTAAAAAAAAAAAAAAAAAAAGGGACAAGGGATGTGGCTCAATGGTTAAGCCCCTCTGGGTTCAATCCCCATTATGGGTAGGGGGTGTTGGGGAGACAGCCCAATATTTATAAATACAATTTTTTTTGGTAGTACTGGGAATTGAACCCAGGTGTACTCTACCACTGAGCTATACCCCCAGCTCTTTTTATTTTTTTGAGACAGGGTCTCATTAAGTTGCCCATACTGACCTCAAACTTGCCATTAGCTGGAATTACAGGTGTATGCCCCTGTACCTGGCTAGGCTTAGTTCTCTTGAAAGAAAGTCTTTTCAAAATAGAAATTCCTGAACTCTTTCACCCAGTATTTTCAATCCTGGAAACTTCTTCCAGGGAAATAAAATAGAAAAGAAAAAGATCATTTGTTTAAAAATATTTATGTCAACATCAGTTAAAAAGAGGACATATGGAAACAGCTCAAATATGTATCTATATAACTATGGAATGTTATATAGCTGTTAAAATTATAAATATGATTAAACATGTTTCTGTATATTCATGAATTATAGTTAAATGGAAGAAATAGACAAGTTGGGGGAAGGATGTGAAGGTGACTGCTGGGTGACAGAAGGGTTTTTTGCAATGTTACAAAACAAAATTTCAAAATGAAGCACTGACCATTATTAGGTCTTCAAAGTGAAGTCACAGAGCAGGACTATGATCATCTTTTCTAGTCTTTCCTAGGCATAGTTTTATCTATATGTGATTCATTTAAAAAAAATCTTGCCTCTGTCACTTAATGTTACAATCCTGGCAGTTGAATGCTTCTGGACTGTTTTATTATTATTTTTAGTTGTAAATGGATCTTTTATTTTATTTATTTATATGCAGTGCTGAGGATCGAACCCAGGGCCTCACACATGCCAGGCAGGTGCTATACCACTGAGCCACAACTCCAGCCCCTTCTGGACTGTTTTAAACACAAGCATCATTGATTGGGGCAATAGCCATCCAGTGTATGTGGTACCTTTACTATTTAATTCCACTGGGAGATACAAGACTAACTTCTAGTTTTCCACTAGTGTATTCAGGGCTGGCATTAAAGTTGTTATATACCAAGCTGTTTCTGAATTTCAGATGAATCCCCTAAAGTATAATTACAAGGGAAAGAGTATGGAAATTAATAAGAAAGCTATCTGTTTTTAGAATCTAAAGGCAATAGGTTTACTTGCAGACAATATGAAACCCACACAGAAAAGACTCACCAGATCCCCTCCTATTCCTAACTCCAGAAATAACAAACCATTATATTTCTGTTTTAGTCAAGGCTTCTTTTCATGGACATGTGTGTATGTGCACATGTTATTGTTTGCTGTATAACTGAGATTGGGAGTGTTCTGTTACGCAATTTTGTAGACAATATTAGCATATTAGTTTCTTCCCACAACATTAAAAATATCTTTAGGTTCACCAATAATAATGCAAAATACTCCATGGTATGAATAGAACATCAGAACATCATTTACTCAACTGTTTTTGTGTGTGGAAATATTGCACTGATGTGGCTGTCTTCTAGGCTCTTGGTACATCTTTCTGTGTGAGTTATGATACTATGGTGTCATCACCAAAATATGGGTTATTTTTAATTGGTTTTTTAAAATTTAAGGGGTAAAGGTGTAGCTCAGTGGTAGAGTGCTTGCCTAGCATGTGGAAGGCCCTGGATTCAATTCCTAGTACCCAAAACAATAAGTATAAAAAGCTGGGTGCAATGGCACACGCCTGTAATCCCAGTGGCTTGGGAACCAGGCAGGAGGATCATGAGTTCAAGGCCAGCCTCAGCAATTAAGTGAGGCCCTAAGCAACTCAGCAGACCATGTCTCTAAATAAAACACATAAAAGGGCTGGGAATGTGGCTCAATGGTTAAGTACCCTTCGGTTCAATCCCTGGTACAATCAATCACTCAATCAATAAAATGGAAAAAAAAAAAAAAACCAGAATATATTACATGGAGAAAAGTTCACACAGAAAATACATATAAGATACCACTGCTAAGAAGTTTTTTTTTATGTGCCATTCCAAACATTTTGGGTCTACACACACAAGTACACTAGTTAATTCTTTTAAATTTATTTTTTCTAATTTGTTATACATGACAGAAGAATATATTTCAATTCATAGTACACATATAGAGCACAATTTTTTATTTCTCTGGTTGTACACAAAATAGAATCACACCATTTGTATTCTCATACATGTACTTAGGGTAATGATGTCCATCTCATTCCACCATCTTTCCCACCCTCATGCCACCTCCCTTCCCCTCCTTCCCCTTTGCCCTATCCAAAGTTCCTCTCTTCCGCCCATGCTTCCCCCCACCCCCATTATGGATCAGCATCCACATATCAGAGAAAACATTTGGCATTTGGGTTTGGGTTTGGCTTACTTCACTTAGCATGATATTCTCCAACACCATTCATTTACCTGCAAATGCCATGATTTTATTCTCTTTTAATACTGAGTAATATTCCCTTGTATATATATTTACACCAGAATTTCTTTATCTATTCATCTATTGAAGGACATCTAGGTTGGTTCCACAAGGCTATTGTGAATTGTGCTGTTATAAACATTGGTGTGGCTGTGTCACTGTAGTATGCTGTTTTTAAGTCCTATGGGTATAAACCGAGGAGTAGGATAGATGGGTCAAATGGTGGTTCCAACACACTAGGGTCATATTGTGTGTACTTTTCAACTGTTTTTTTCCATTAATAAACAATTGGGATGTTTTTATTTGTTGGCTATCTCCTTTATTCCTTTAAACAGTGTCAGAAAACTTCACAGCCTGGCTATACCATGATTCAATTAGCTGTTCTCTCCTGGACATTTAGATTGGTTCTTTAAAGTCACAAACATTGCTGCAACCAACATTCTCAAAGTAGTATTGGGAGCCATCCTGCAGCTTAGGATATTGTCACGTGTACCTTTGGCAGTCCTGTGTGCTGGTGTCATACCTCATGGGCATGTGTTGGATGTCTCCCATGCAGGACCTCAGCCTGTAGTGGCTCTCTCAACAGTGATGAGACTCCATCCCCTGCTGTGAAGGCTTCCATCTTCACCCCGCCTGTCCTACTCAAGTTCCAGCCTGTTCCCAGACCCAAAGACGACTCAGAGAATGACCCTGGCAGTACAGAGTCCGTGCCCCACAAGAGGAGTCCGTAACTTCTTTCCTACAAACCATGACTTGTGGAATGAATAAAGTTCCCATGGAGATGCCTTCCTTGTGGTGGGCTCCCTAGGAGTTGTGCAATCCCACTGGTTTAAATCGCTAACCTATCAAAGCGCTGCCCTTAACTCTGATTGGAAGAGTTCGGGGTTACAATCTACTTGATAGGCTAATTAAAGAATTAGGGCGGGCAAAAGGGGAGGGCTACAATTAGATCCAATTAAGGCTGAACACTATATTATGAAAATGAACCACTAGGCTTTATTTCTCACAGTATGGTCATCGTTTTGTAGGCCTCCGCCTGGAAGGGAAATACAAGTGGAGTGGAGGCTAGTGGGATTTAAGATTTCAGTCTCGTCAAGCGTGAGGGCACTCCTCTGTAATCCCTCGACTTGGGAGGCTGAAGGAAGATTATTCAAATTGGAGGCCAGCCTGGGTAACCTAGGAAGACCCTGCGTCAAAATAAAAATAAAAAGGGCTAAGATTGCAGCTCAGTGGTAAAGCGTCCCTAAATTCAATCCCCGTCCCGTCTTTGTCGGTCTGGGTCTCAATCCCCACCCCCACCATGACACCAGACTTTTTAAAAGACCAGAGAATTTAGGTTGGGCTTGAGTAGGGACGACACTGAGTTTTGTCTGGGCAGGTGAGAAGGCGCTTCAGAGGTTCCCAAAAAGATGGGGTTCTGAGAGATTAAAGGCCAGAACCCCCATGCTCAGACTGGCCGCGCCCTGTCCCAGCCTACTCACTTGGGTGCCCAAGAACCTTTCTACCCAGCATGCCGAGAGGCCGCTTCCGGGGCGGGTCTGCAAGACCCGGAAGTGGTGAGGAAACTCCGAGGAGGCTTGGGAATCGGAGTGGTAGGCGGTCACTTTTTCGCATTAGCTGTTTCTGCTGCTGCTGCCGCTGCCATGGGGAAACGACAGCACCAGAAGGACAAGATGTAAGTTGAGTCTCAGCCGGGATTGGCGCCACGCTCTGCCTCAATCCCCTGCCCGACTTAGCGCCGCTGCTGTTTCTCAGAGTTCGTCGAGAGGCCATTCCAAATTGTCACTTCCGGAAATTCCCACCCCCTTCTCCAGGCAGCCTCCAACCACCACGGTTTGCTTGGATTAAGCTCTGATATGGTCTCTTGAGTGCGACCCTTACACTGGCCTTGGCGCTAGATTTGAACCTTCTCCTTTACTTCTCAGAATTTGCCTGGGACCGCCCCGGCCACCCATTGTGAGCTTTGCTCTTGCATTAGTTAGTAGTCTCTCCTGCATCTTCAGTCTCCCTGGATGCTGGTTCACACTTAGTCTACACATCTCCTCTAGTCTGTAGTTTAAGACAAGCCAGCCGGGCGCAGAGGCGCACGCCTGTAATCCCGGCGACTCGGGAGATTGAGGCAGGAAGATCGCAAGTTAAAAGCCAACCTCGGTAATTTAGCGAGGCTGAATTAAACCCTTTCTCAAAATAAAAAGGGCTGGGGATGTAGCTCATAAGTAAGGGGCCCTGGGTTCAATTCGGTACCAGAAAAAAATAAAAACAAGCCAACCGTGTCCCTTCCTTTCCTCCAGCTACCACCATGTTTCTTTGATTCTGTTCCTAACAAGTGAAAGTCTTGTGTCTCCTTGCTGTTTTCTGCTGCGTCTTGAAACCACCTCAGTCAGACTTTTGCACCCAGAACAGCCCTTGAGAAGATACCGTTGTCTTCTGTGTTGCCAAATCTGGTGTTCTCAGTAGCCTAAAACACGATAATTACTCCTTCCCGAAACCCTTCTTTAGTGTCTTGAATCCCACATGCTTTGTTTTCCATCTACTTCAGTGGCCTTTCTCTTAGTTTCCTTTCCTGGGCCTTCCTCCTCTTCTCTCAGACCTCATAGGTTTCTTCCCCATTATTTTGTCTGTGAGTGATCTTTCCCAGTCATCCATAAGTTGAAGTTGATTGATTTTTTTTTTTTTTTTGGTACCAGTGATAGAACCCAGGGGTGCTTAACTACTGAGCCGCATCCCCAGGTTTTTGTATTTTATTTAGAGACAGGGGCTCACTAAGGTGTACAGGGCCTCCTTAAATTGCTGAGGCTGGATCTAAAATCTCTTGCCTCAGCCTCCCAAGCTGCTGGGATTACAGGCATGTGTTGCTGGCCCAGCCAAAGTTGATTTCTTTATCTTTCCAAAGTGAGCTATTTACTTGACATCTTCCTGTGAAGAAGAACTGGTAGATGTCTGGGAGTTTCTTTTTCTTTCCTTTTTTTTTTTTTTTTTTTTTTTTTTTTGATAAGCGTTTTACTATATACTGTATATGTTTTACTGTATATATATTTTTTATATAAGCGTTTTACCAAGGCTTGCCTGGAACTCTTCATCCTCTTGTTTTAGCTAGCCTCCTGAGTAGCAGGGATTACCAGTACATGGTACTACCTGAAAGTTAATATTCTCTGTATTATTATTGTTCTGTCACTATGACAATATCCCTGAGAACTAAAGTAGGGAAGGTTTATTTTGGCTCATAGTTTCAGTCTATGGTCAACTGGCTCTATTGCTTTTAGACCTGTGATGAGGCAAAGCATCATGGTGGATCAGAGCTGCTGTCCTCATGGCAACTGGGAAGCACAGATCAAGGAGTGGTCCAAGGACAACATATCCTCTTCCAGGACATGCCCCTAGTGACCTACTTTTTTCACTAGGCCTCACCTCCTACAGTTTCTACCCCCTCCCAATAGTACATTCAATTATGAACCAGTTAGTTGATTAATACATTGATGAAATCAGAGCCTTCATGATCTGATCACTTCCCAAAAGCTCTTCTTGTGAACATTGCTACATTAAGGACCAGCCTTTCAGCACGTGAGCCTTTGAGGGATATTCCAGATACAAATTGTAACACATCCTAAACAAAACTTTTGATTTTCATCTTTTTTACCCTGACCTACTCCCTCCTCCCTATTTCAGTGGTTATATCACTATAGATGGTCCCCAACCTTCTGTGAGTTGACTTAACAATTTTTCAACTTTATGATGGTGTGAAACAATGTGCATTCAATAGAAACCATACTTTGATGTTTGCCTTTTTTTTTTTTTGGTACTAGGGGTTTACATTATAAGTTTTTTTGGTGTTTGTGTATGTTGCTGGAGATTGATCTCAGGCCTCCTACGAGGGCTTCTATCACTGAACTATATCCCAGGCCCTAAAATAAGCTTTTTGTTAGATGTTTTTGCCGAGTGGTGGGCTAATGTATGTGTCCTGAGTATGTTTAAAGTGGACTAGGCTAATCTGTCATGACCAATAAGTTAGGTGTATCAAATGCATTTTTAGCTTAGGATGTTTTCAACTCAGGATGGGTTTTTCAGGACATGGTCCCATTAGAAGCATGCTTAATTGCTCAGGTCAGAGGTCTGGTTGTTGGCCTTGATGCCTTTCATTATTCCTGTTCATCAGGAAGTCCTGGCTCTTTCAGGAACTGACCACTTTCCACCTTGTCCACCAGTCCTTCATAGGTGAAGTTGGTATATCCAACTTCTTGGACTTTTGTGGTCACCTCTTGTTCTGCTACCTTTTTCAGTTGTCTTCCTACACACGGCAGCCAGACTGGTGCTTTGAGACATATGTTAAATCATGTCAGGGCCCTATTCACAACCCTCCAATAGCTTCCCTTCCCACTTAGGGCAAATCCAGTCTTTACCATGGCCTGTGTAGTTCCCGTGATTGGTCATTGCCCATGTCTTTATCTTCATCTGTTTCCTATGTACACTATTATTCGGTTATGTCTTGTTTTTGGTACAAACCCAACCGTTAAGCCTTCATACATATTATGCTTACTAAGCTCTTCCCCAGATCTTCATGTGCCCAGCTCCTTCTCATGTCAGCTCTTCTCATAAATTCAGTTTTTTTCTTTCAGAGCAAAGAAGGACTGTTGGTTTTTATTTACTTGTCTCAGTATCCTTCTGCCTGCTTTGTTTATCACTATGTGCCTGACATTTAACAGGTATTTTAATAAGCATTTGCTGAATAAGCCACAATTACATCATCAGTTACTTACTTCATAGACTCTGTGATCTCTATGAAGATCAGTTACTTACTTCACAGATTCTGTCATCTTTATAAAGGGGAGATAGTAACATTTTCTCTCTTCTTCAGGTACATTACCTGTGCTGAATACACTCACTTCTATGGTGGCAAGAAGCCAGGTAAAGCATAAAATTCTTCTGTTTTCCATGGTTGATGGGGGTGGTATTAAGGAATGATGTCTTCATTCTACTGTGAGCCGTAAAAATGAACAGTTAACAAGAACACAGTTATTATAATAGACAACTGGAGTGAGGACATAATCCACAAAAGAGGAAATATAATCAGCATAGGAGAACATGTTTTATCTTGGTGAGGATTTTTCAAAACAGGTTAAAATAACATTTTGGTTTTTATTTTGAGACAGGGTTTTGCCAAATTGCTTGGGGCCTCACTAAGTTACTGAGGCTGGCTTTGAACTTGCGATCTTCTTGCCTCAGCCTCCTGCATGTCTGGGATTACAGGCATGCACCACTGTGCCAGGCTTCCTCTAAGTTCTTTTTTATGTACCCTGTGTGTTTTAGTTATAATCAAAAGATTTTTAATCCAGGCTGGGAGGTGTAACTCAATGGTAGAGCATATGCTTAGCATGCTTGAGGCTCTCGGTTCAGTCCCCGGCACCAAAACAGACAAACAGAAAACTTTAAATCCATAGCAAATGCTGTACTAGGTAATTTGCATTAACTTTTTTATAAAATGTAATTGAATTGTTGTTAGGTGCACATAGATGAAATGTTTTACAAATAAGTTTAGTGTTTTTAATTTCATTTTAAACAGATATCCCTCAAACAAATTTTCGTCGATTACCTTTTGACCACTGCAGGTAAGGGTTCTGAATGTTTATCTTTCCCTGTGGTTCTCTGATATATGGTTGGACATTTTTTCTGAAATATTTGGGACCAGATAGATGTGTTTCAGATTTGAGTTTTTTAGATTTTGGAATATTTTCATAGACTTTACCACTTAAACATCTCTAATCTTAAAATCTGAAGTCCAAAATGATCCAAAATCCTAAACTTTTTGAGCACTGATGTGACACTCCAAAGTTTTGGGATTTTGGAGCATTTTGGTTTTTATTTTCAGATTAGGGATGCTCATTATGTACTATCTGGTAGTGAATCTGAAGGAGTAGGTAGGGATCATTTATATTCTTCCACCTGGATTTTCCCTGAAATGGGAGGCAGTGGACCTAACCATGATGATAGGTAGTGTATATTTTTACTTATTGTATCTGTATTTACAGACTTTGTCTTTTTAACCTCATTCTTACCTTCCAGGATAGTAAGCCTTGTTGTTAAGCCCATTTTACAGTTGAGAGAACTGATGCTTAGAAGACTGAAGCACCTGGGGTCACGTATCACATCTGGAAAGATTGGTCACTGAGTCTTGATCTCAGTGGTCTGACCCCAGGCCCACACTTGTAACACTTTACTCTTGTTAGAGAAATTAAGTAATTGCAGCATCAGCAGTAGCAAGAGTAATGTTATCATGAAGCCTTTCTCTACTTATATGTGAACCCAGGCACTGGTGTGGATGAGAAGAAACCCAGAAGCAGAGCCACCTAAATGCTGCTTCCAGCCAGATTGGTCTGGTTATGAACAGAAGTGGGGGGCCTGTTGGAGAATCAGGGCTTCAACTGATGAACCCCTTATATTGCCCCTTCCAGGGTGAGGGGGTGTTAGGAGAGTGGGCAGGTCTGGTGGTCCTAAGGCCTGAGGTTTGCACAGCCTGAGCCATGGTTACTTCTGCCCTGGATGCTTGTATTCACAGCATCTTCCTTATCCCCAAATTCTGATTCTGAAGGTCAGGGTGACCCTTGAGAGCCGACAAAGCTGTCTTGGTGATGCTGGCACCCCAGTTGAGGGAGGTCATCCAGATACCACAGTGCAGTGAGGAATGGGCAGAGGAATCCATGGTGCAGGGAGACCTGAGGGCCTAGTTACTTCAGCCCAACATCTGGGCCTCCCTGCATTTTCCCAGGACCTTGAGGATCCACCTGTACAGTGGTTAGTGGGGACTATTCCTCTTTAGCAGCACCTGCTCAGGGAGGTGCAGCCTCAATGGCTAGTGTTTCTTCCCTCCCTTAGTAGAATCTGTAATCAGTCTGTAAGAATGTGGTCTTCACATTGGATATTAATTGATGTGATGGAAATGAATCATTCTTGATTCAAGTTCCTCCAAGAGATCACTGATTTTAGTTTTAATTATTTTTTAACTACCTTGGGTTAGGAGTAAAAATGTGCTGTGAGGGCCTAGGGTTGTGACTCAGTGGTAGAGCACCACATAAAAATAAAAAAATAAGGGCTGGGGCTGTAGCTCATTGGTAGAGCGCCCGCCTCACACATGTGAGTCATTGGGTTCAATCCTCAACACCACATAAAAATAAATAAAGATATTGTGTTCAAGTACAACTAAAAAAAATTAAAAATAAATAAAAATAAAAAAATAAATAAAGGAAATGTGTCTATCTACAACTAAAAAAAAAATGTGCTTTGAGCATATGACCCTTAAGGTCTTATTGGGGAGCAGTCAGTTACATGTTCATCATCATGGCATTTGGAGCTTGCTTTGGTTTTACCTCCAGCTCTGGATGCTTTCCAATAGCACTACCATTACTGCTGTAGTTAGCATTGAAGGTCGGGCCACAGACGGAGGTGGCCAGGTTGCTCATCCAGGGTTCCCTTGAATAGCATTCTGGGAGGTCCCCATGCCAATCCTGGTTAAAGCTTAGGAGGGTCAAAGTCACAGTGTTGCCAGGCTATCTAAGTCTTAAGCCCTGACCTGTGCTGATTAAACTCATAGGAGAAAAATGTATAAACAGAATTCAGGGCATCCAGGGCTCTGAATGGCTATTGCAGAAATCCATGCAAGAAAAAGAGTATTGGTATAGGCAATTCACCAAGTAGGTTCTGCTTTTCTTCAGCAGACTCCATGAGGGGAAAATGGTTCTTGGTCAGGGCCTCTTCAGATGTTTATCCCCATATCCATGTATGAGAACTTCTTGAGAGCTCCTAGGGACTTAGGTATTCACTTAGTCATATGGCAGCTCCTTGGAAATGTGAGGGACTATGTACACACTCTGTGATCAGGGGAAGACAGGGCACCCCAGACCATAGTAGCCCCATCATACCCTCACAGGATTTGGGAGGATAGCTTTCAGTATAAAAGCTTGGCCTGTCTGTTGCATGAAGTTTTGGAGAGTGAATCCTGGTCCTGCCTCCCCAAGGCTACCTCCAGGGACCAACTTTTTTTTTTTTTTTTTAATATTTATATTTATTTTTCCTTCCTTCCTCCCTCCCTCCCTCCTTCCCTCCCAGAATTGAACGCAGTGCCTCACACATGCCAGGCAAGCACTCTACCACTGAGCCACAACCCCAGCCCCCAGAGACCAATTTTGATAACAGAAATATTATAGACATGCAGAGGTTGTGAGAGAACCTGGTTATTGTGATTCTAAGGCCCTGTGGCACCTCCTGGGACCTGTGCCTTGTATTTAATAGTTTATGCTGCAAGCTTTGGAGGGATGGGGCATCAGGGTCACTTCTGGTGTTGACTACCAGTGCAGACTATGCAGAGAAGCCTGGAACTGTTAGAGGAATGATTGAAGAAGGGAAGCCAAAGGTGAGTACTAGGGTGACTGGCAAGCCCATGATGCAATCTGTGTGTCTAGCAGCTGACCAGGAATGACTTCTTTTTCAGTCTTTCTCTGCAGCCCTTTGTCTACCCGGTCTGCACCCCAGAAGGTGTCGTCTTTGACTTGCTGTGAGTTTTACCTTAACTTTCGTCTATGTATATGGTGAGATTGTTGACACCCACTAAGGAAGGAGGTGTTGGGTTTGTGCGTCCAGACAGTGCCAAGCGAGGCAATGCCAGGGTCACCAGATCCTAATCCCAGCAGTCTCAGGAGTTGTGAGTGAGCCTGTTGGTGACTAAGGAGGAATAGCCAGGGCCTCAGGGACATGGCAGCAGTGTTGCTATGATGTATCCCTTTCCCTCTCAGATAAGGAGCTTTAACTGGCAGTTGCTCCTGTCCCTGCCAGAAGTGGGTTCAAGTTGCTCTTCATTCTCTATATGTGAGGGTCTTTGGGTTTTAATTGGCATCAGTTTGGAATGTTAATGGACTAGAGACTCTTCACTTTATAAAAGTAGAGCCATAATGAAGGCTTCTGGGACCCGTGCCTTGTACTTAATGGTTTGTGCTGCAAGCTTTGGAGGGATGGGCATCAGGGTCACCTCTGGTGTTGACCACCAGTCAACAGTGCTGTAGTTTGAAGCATTATGCTTATATTTTTCATTTTTGTGGGGGTTGAACTCTGGGCATTACACATGCTAAGCATTCTACCACTGAGCTACACCCTCAGCCCTGGTGACACTTTCTGTTTTCTCTTCCCTTCAGGAATATCGTTCCATGGCTTAAGAAGTATGGGACTAACCCAAGCAATGGAGAGGTAGGTGCCATGTAGAAATTTGATGCTGGTGAGAGCTGTCCTCTTGCCTTTATTTATCCTGGTCATTTTCATGGACACATGGACCCAGTAGAGAACCATTCATAGGGAGCAAGTACACATGGGGTAAAGAGTGACAGGACTTCCCTCTCCTCACCACACCCACTCCTTTCTAGAAATGTCCACTATATGAGCATGAATATAAGAATGTTCATTGTCCCTCTGTGTCAGTACATTTTGTATCTGCATGTTCAATCAACTACCAGTCATAAATATTTGAAAAAAATTATGTCCATACTGAAAATGTACAGAATTTTTCCTTGTCATTATTCCTTAAATAATACAGTATAACAACTATTTACATAGCATTGACGTTGTATTAGGTATTATAAGTCTTATAGAGAAGGACTGGGGATGCAGCTCACTGGTAGAAGACTTGCTTAGCATGTGGAGGCCCTGGGTTCAATTGCCAATACTACAAACACAAAAAAACTCTCATCTACAGGTGTATATAGTTTCTGTGAAAATACAGTGCCATATTAGGTGAGGTACTTGAGCATCTATGCGTTTTAATATCCTGGGGGTCCTGAAACTGATTGCTATACTGAGGCACTATTACATATGCCTTTTCTTGGGCCACAGATGTGATCATAGTGGATGAACACCTGCGTACCTTGTTTTGTATGTGCTGCTTAGAAACCTGAACTTCTTGGTGCAGAAATCACAGCCTTTTCTGTGTTGTAGAGTATATACTTCTTTGTGGGAGTACTATGCTGGATTTTGACTTGTTTGCCATTACATAGGTGCAGGGACTGTCCCTAGCATGTTTCTTTGGGCAAGTAGAAGTATCTGTCCAAGGATGGGTCAAAGGATGGGTACCTATTAAGTCAAAGAATGGGTTCCTTTTCAGTTTGGGCAGCTACTAGAGAATTTCCTTCCGAAGCCATCGTATTGCTTCACACTTTTCATAGCAACATGTGAAGGAGGAGTTCCCTATGTCCTGAGCAACAATGGGTAGATTTTTTTTTTTCTGTTTATAGGGGAAAAATTAATTTTTAATTTTTATTAATGTAAAAAATTTTTAATTTATAATAATTAAATTTCTTATTTTTGTTGTGTTTTAGTCTGTTTTTGTCACTGTGACCAAAATACTAAACAAAAAGAACTTAGAGAAGAAAAGGATTTATCTGGGCACATAGTTTCACTGTATGGTCAGTTGACTCAGTTGTGCTCTGGCCTCTGAGGTGAGGTGGAGAAAAATATTCACTGCCACAAGGATGTGAAGAGGGGTGGGGCTCAGGAACTCAGGGAAGATGAGTCCCTCCAGGGCTCAATCCAGTGACCCACCTCCTTTTGTCATTCCCCACCCTGCCTACAGTTACCACTCAGCAAATTCATTTAAACTAGGATGGACTGATTAGGGTTACAGCTCTCATAATTTAATTTTTTCACCTCTGAATATTCGTGCATTAACACAGGAGTATAAAACCAGCTTTTATCTTGTAGCCTCATCATTTAGTCCTATTCTTCAGTTCAGTAGTCACCTCTGTTGGCATATGTGTGTTTACAAAATGGGCTCTACTCAGAGCCAGTAGGGGTGGATGGTGGATTATGTAAATGTACCCACCTAGGCACACCATTCTGTAGCCCCCTTTTGAGTCCTGGCAATGTCCTGTGGTTTGCATAGAGAGGTCCCTGCAGCTAGAGCTCTAGAGCTCTGTTCTGTAGCTGTAAAGGATTGGCTGGGCCTGTCTCTGTTTTCACCTGGCTTCTCAGCCTCACATTTCTTCACATGTCTTATCAATTATTATTATTATTATTTATTTGTTTTTCTGGTACCAGGGATTGGACTCAGGGGCACTTAACCACTGGGCCACATCCCCAGCCCTTTTTTTGTATTTTATTTGGAGACAGGGTCTAGCTAAGTTGCTGAGGCTGGCTTTGAACTCGGAATCCTCTTACCTCAGCCTCCAGGGTTGCAGAGGTGTGCTCCACCACACCCAGCTCTTATTATTATTTATTGTGTGTCTTTCAGAAACTTGATGGTAGGTCCTTGATAAAGCTGAACTTTGCCAAGAACAGTGAAGGTAAGTCTCTTTTGTAACCAGCTCTGGGATTGGCTTATGGGGTCCCTGCTCTCACTTTTTTTGTTCTAATTAGTTATACATGACAGTAGAATGCATTTTGACATATCATACATAAATGGAGCATAACTTCTCATTTTTCTGATTGTACATGGTGTAGAATCACACTGGTCATGTAGTTATAGATGCACATAGATGTAATAATGAATAATAATGTCTGATTCATTCTACTGTCCCTCCTACCCTCATACCCCCTCCCCTCACCAAGTTCTTTTGTCAATTCTTCCTTCCTTTTTCTTTCCCTCTCCTTCCTCCTTTTCCTTCTTCCTTTTCCTTCCTTTTCTCTTTTCCTTTATTCCCGTCCTTCCCTACTTCCTTCTTCCCTCCCTCCCTCCCTCCCTCCCTCCCTCCCTTCTGATTGAATCCAGGGCTTTGCAATACTCTACCACTGAGCCACATCTCCAGCCCTCACTCATTTCTTTCTGAACAAGCTAGACACTTGCTTTTAATTTCTCAAAAGATACTACATGATGATTTATCCTTCGGTTTGAAAACAATATTTTGAACTTTTTAAAAATTCAGCTTATACTGTCTTGCAAATGATTATTTTGAATGTGATTAGCTCATTGTGGCACAGTGTTCTGAGGAGGATAAAATTACTTTGACCTGGGATGATGATAAATGTTCATTTATTTTAAAAAAAATACCACATGATTTCATAAAGGTCCAGATAGTTTTAAAATGGGGGTGAGTTGGCAGAGAACCATTTTTTTGTACAAGGGTGTTCAGTCCATTGAACAACCAGTGGCCTTTGTGGGTATAATTGGGCCTTGTGGGGCATGAGGTGTGTATTCACTGCTGGAGGCAGAGTCAGGGTGGGCAGTTAGGCCATGGATGTGGTTGGTCTGGAGGGGTCTCTTGGCTGGACTTCTTATTACCACTTCTTTTTTTTTGTACCAGGGATTAAACCCAGGAGGGCTTAAACACTGAGCCATATCCACAGCCCTTTTTATTTTGATACGGGGTCTCACCAAGTTACCTAGGGGGCCTTGCTAAATTACTGAGGCTGGCTTCTGGCTTTGAACTTGTATTCCTCCCACCTTAGCTTCCCAAGACACTGAGATTGTAAGTGTGTACCACTGCACCCAGCTTGTCAGTATCGCTTCTAAAGCCCCAGCCCAGCTTGAAGGCTTCCTGCTTTATATTTTGAAATGTCTTCTTGTCTCTTGGCCACATACCAGGGCTGATGTGACCACCCTGCATTGTTCCTATCTGAGGTGCTGATCTTACTGGAGGCCTTTGTGCCCTAACCCTGGTCTCCTTTGGCCATGCAGATGTTGTGGTTTAGGTTGTTGTGGTTGCTGGGTGTATGTTTTTCAGGGGAATGCAGAGAGCACAGGAGGCTAGGACCCCTCCCTCTTGACTAACCCTAGAGTCTGCTTCACAGTCAACACTGGGTTTGCAGATCATGAGTAAATGAGCTTCAGCAAAAAAGCAGTATTGTATGTTGATGGAATCAGGAGCTTCACTCTAGTGACTACCCCACTCTGTAATCAGCTGGTTTAGGGAGGTCCGCAGTATGTGCCTCTCATTCAGGAATTATTTGTAGTAAACAAAGCAGCCCAAATCTCCCTAAATGAGAGGAGCTTACTTTCTAGTTGGGGAGAAAACCAGATAGTGTGTCAGATGTTGTTTCTGCCATGGAAAAAAGCAGAACAAGGCAAGGGAAAAGAGCCTCAGGAGGACCAGTGGACCAGAGTTTTTGTTTGTTTGTTTGTTTGTTTGTTTATTTTTTTGCATATGATTACTTTGAAGGCGATTAGCTCATTGTGGCACAGTGTTCTGAGGAGGGTAAAATTACTTTGACCTGGAGTGATGATAAATGTTCATTTATTTAAAAAAAAAACAACAAAAAAAAACACAGAGAGTAAATCTGATGGAAAGGAGGCAGGAAGCCAAGTGAGGACCTGGAGAAGAGCATTCCAGGCAGTTGAGTACACCCAGTGCAAAGCCCTGAAATTGGCATGCATTTGAGGGTGTCTGTCCAATCAGAAATCCAGAGTTGCTGGAACAGCATGGGCAAGGAGTAGAGGCAGAGGATATGGTCAAGATTGAGTCGCAATGGGAGGCACAGCAATCCTACAGAGCCTGGGTGGGAGCCTATAGGAGGACCTCGCCTCATTTTTTTTTTTTTTAATATTTTATTTTTATGTGATGCTGAGGATCGAACCCAGTGCCTCATGCATGCTAGGCAAGCACTGTACCACTGAGCCACAACCCCAGCCATCGCCTCATTTTTTTGTTGGATGTTTTTACTGGGTGGGGGTTGGTACTAGGGATTGAACCTAGGAACTTATACATGCTAGGCAGGTGCTCTGTCACTGAGCTATACTCCCAGCCTGTTTTATTTTTATTTATTTATTTATTGGAACCAAGGATTGAATCCAAGGGCACTTACCACTGAGCCACATCCCTAGTCCTTTTTTTAAAATTTTTTATTTTGAGATGGGGTCTCACTAGGTTGCTTACAGCCTCACTCAGTTGCTGATGATAAGGACTGAAATCATCACAGTAGCATTACAGCACTTAAAAATTTAATAGGCATTTCTTAGTCTAATTAAATGTATACCCACTTGTAAAATCTCCATGGTTTACTCATTATTTATAGTTTTCAAATCAGGATTTTAAAGAATTCCACCCAGATACATGTGGGTGACATCGCTAAGACTCTTAGTTTTTAAGTTCCTGCCTCCCTTTTGTTTTGAGTTTTATTTGTTGGGACTTACTAGACAGGGCTGCTGGGTGGGGGCTTATTAGGGCAGGGGATCATCAGGTATTTGCCACAGTAGTCCAGATGAGAGATTAGGAAGGTGAGGAGACAGTGTGGCTGGTGGGTACTACAGGTGTGAGAAATAGGAGAGGTAGTCAAGACTAAATCACTGGGAGAATGGGCTGTTTCCTGTGCAGGGATGGCTTCAAGAGGAGGAGGAAGAGTGATTAGCATGGGGTCACCTGGGACAGGCTAGGTCCATCCATCTGAGGAAAGTGAGGCAGGGATTTACTGAATGAATAGGAGTTTACTAATGAGGCTTGGGATTGGGACTTGAGCAGCTGTTGTCCCTCTGGTTCTTGGGGTTTTTCCTCCTCCCTTTCTCTGACCCTCAGCCTGAGTTCACTCCTGCCTTGGCCTTCAGTGGTCTTCTTTGGAATGATCAAAATTCTCAAGGGTGACTGGCTTTCCTGTGTGTGCCTTCTCTCTAGAAAAGTATCACTGCCCAGTGCTGTTCACTGTGTTCACCAATAACACCCACATTGTGGCCATCAGGACAACTGGCAATGTCTATGCCTATGAGGTGGGTCCTCACTGCAGGGAATGTGGGACTGTATGGCATCAGGCTCTTGGGTGTGTGCTTTGGGTGTACTCTCTCATCCTGGCTGGGATTAGGAGTGAACCCAATATAACAAGCATGGTCTGTTCTCATGGGATTTATAGTCATAGCCACTAGCACAAGCTTTCTGACCCAGACCCATTTGGGTACCTTCCCATTTTCAAACAGATCCAGAAAAGTGGAGAGGTACTTCCTGGGCCTTCTGGACCTGGAGTCCAAGCAATTTTGATTGCTGAGCCGGGAGTCTTAATACCCCAGAGGGCAAAGATCAGGCCTAGGAAGGAACCTTTGCTCAGAGAACAGGCCCCCAGGGCTACAAGGGAGCTGTTGGACCCCATGGGGCAAGGGAAGGCCATGTTCCTGAAAGAGATATCCCTAGGAAGGAGTGAGTGCCAGGCTGGTGAGAGGAGTTCTGGCAGGGAGTAGATGTAGGGATAGGAGGCAGCAGTTTCCATACAAGTGCTCTTGCTCAGAGCAGGGGCAGGGAGGAGCCTTACTTTGTGGAAAAGCCTGTGCCTTTTTGTTTCCTCACCTGGACATTTTCAGAGTCTCAGTGGCCAGTGCTGTCCCAGGAACTCTTGGGCTGCTTCTTGCCCAAAGCACATGGATTGGCTTGGTTAGCCCTTGCTGAGCACCAGTAAACTCTACTAGGGCAGGCATTTTGTATTCTTGCTCACCACCTGTCTCAGTGAAGATGGAAATGAGTGGGAGGGTGGCCTCACTGAGCCTGTTGGCCAATATGTAAAATGTATCCTGAGAGCATCCCACAAAGAGCGCTGAGCACACTGGGTTCCAGTTGCTGTCTGGGTTGCTGCCAGCCAGCTCTGCCCTTCATGAAGGGGCTGTGGCCAGAAGCCATGGTAGTCTCCACCTGATTCCTCACCTCTCAGTAGTGCTGTGGTCTAGCCAGCATCAGGCCTTCCTTCCTGCAGGCTCCCAGAGCATTGTAACTCTTGCTCTGACTAATTGCAGGCAGTGGAGCAGCTAAACATCAAGGCAAAGAACTTTCGGGACCTGTTGACTGATGAGCCCTTCTCTCGACAGGACATCATCACTCTCCAGGTGAGTGTTGCCTCCTATAAGGAAAACCCACTCCATAACCTCTGTTCTGTTTCTCTTTCCTGCCCAGCTTGATTACCTCTCCCTTGATTGTGTGGTTGTGATTCCTCAGCCTCTTAGCACCCCCAACCCCACCCTGGCCTTTGGCATGGGAAACTACCTCTCTGACTCTCATGGCTCCTACAGTGCCTCTCTGTTGTCAGGGGACCTTATCTCTACCCAACAGCCATCTCAGGGCATCCGAATGGCAGCTTTACAGGCTGGCCCTGCTCCAGTCACCTTGAGGACAGGAATGGGCACATGCCTCATGCAGCAGGAAAATAGGGAATCCCTATAGTTGTTGGGGAACCTTGAGTGAACCCATGAGAACTCTGACATTGAAAAGCAAGAGCCACCAGATTGGAGCTAAGGTTAGAGCAGGCCTATAGGAGCCACCAGTTCCCCTCTGTGGCTTGTTCCATACTGATTGGAGTTTGGCTCCATTGCTACCCAGGCCATTCAGTAGCAGCAAGTGAAGCTTCATAACTGTGTTCCCCAGAGGGAGAAGATGTAGTTTGCCAATCATCTGAGCAACTAGATGGTCTGTGCCCTGTCCCTACTCATCCTCACTTGTCACCCAGCCTGCAGCAGAATCCCCCCTCCTTGCCTGCTCAATCCCTCAGTGCTGGCCTCTTCTTTGGGCACATGACCACCACCCTTTGCTGCCTGTGGCAGCTGTTTGGTCACAGTCCTGGGTTTACTCTCCTGGGTATTCTCTTTTGCTGTAGGACCCCACCAATTTGGACAAGTTCAATGTCTCCAACTTCTTTCATGTTAAGAATAACATGAAAATAACAGACCCAGGTATGTACAACCAGGGACTGGTCTGGGTGGAACATGGGCTGTACCCCCTAGGCAAAGCCCCTGCCTTCCTGGGGTCCAGGGACTCCAGGGTTCTGGCCCCAGCCTAGCTATGCCCCAAGTTTCCTGAATCCATGTTCAGTGTCTGACGTTCAGAGAATCTGCCAGCTGCTTGTCATGGGAACCCCAAAAGGTCAGACTTGCCAGGACATCTCATTTTCCTTTCCTCAGCTCTGGTGGCCATGGGCATCCCCCTGGGTTTCTGTTGGCCAGTGCTTTCTCTAGGGAGTATTGACAGAGGTGTCACTGAGGTGGAGGCTCTGGTGACATCAGACTCATGTCTTGGGGCAGCTGGGACCTTTGTCCCTCTATTTCCTGTGGTTGGTCAGTGTCAAGGAGCACACTGTGGAATGAAATGGGAGCTCTCCAATTTTCTTAGCTGACTTAGGGCTGCTTTTGAGGAACCAGGAAGACTTGGGCCAAGATTAGTTGGCATCACTGCTGCTGAGAACAGCATCCCAGATACTCAGTGATGCACACTGTATGAACCAGTTAGAATTTAGGGATGCTGAGGCTGAGCACACAGTTGAGGAGCTCTGACCTCCAGAGACCTGGAGGCCAAGTCTGGGGCCCAGGTATGCTGTTCCTTTCCTTCAGGTAAGCAGCAGCATGCACCATCCTGCCTGGGGCATTTCATATCTGGAAAGACCCCAAACACATTTTAAATAGTTTTTTTTTTTTTTTTTTTTTTTTGCAATACTGGGGATGGAACCCAGGGGTACTTGACCACTGAGCTACATCCCAATCCTCTGTATTTTTGTTTTTATTTTTATTTTGAGACAGGGTCTCACTGAGTTGCCAAGACTGGCCTTAAACTTGCAATCCTGCCTCAAACTCCTGAGTAGCTGGGATTTTAGGCATATGTACCACTGTACCAAGCTACATAAGATATATTTTTTTTATACTGGGAATTGAACCCAGAGGCCAGAGGCATTTTACTAGGTAGCTATGTCATCTATATCCCTAGCTCTTTTTATTTTTTAGTTTGAGACAGGGTCTCACTAAGTTTCTAAGGCTGGTCTTAAACTTGTAATCTTCATGTCTCAGCCTCGTGAGTTGCTGGGATTACAGGTATGTGCCACTGTGCCCAGAATAAGAAAAAAAAATTTTTAGTATTTATTTTTATTTTTATGTGGTGCTGAGGATTGAACCCAGTACCTCATGCACGCTAAGTGAGCGCTTTACCCCGAGCCACAACCATAGCCCAAGAAAAAAAAATTTTAAGTTATAAAAGCAAAACATATACTATTAAAGTGGGGGAATGTATAGATGAATGTAAGTAAGAAAATAAAAGTCAACCCTAAGCCTCTCGCCCATCCTAAGACTGCTGTTGACTGCATGGAGAAGACCTCTTCAGGCCTGGGACTAGGTACCCATGGCACTGTGTGTGCTCAGAATATCTGGCCTTGGTGGATCCATCACTGCTGCTGCAGTACAATCTGTGTTAGTAGTATGGGATCCACAACATATCTAGTGATCCTAGCCTAAACTTTCTGGTGGCTTCTGCTACTGTAGTTGGCTCTGGATTTCTGTCTCCATCATATCCATCTATGGATGCTTCTGTGGCTTGGCTGCTCAGTACCTCCATGCTGTTTTGTAGATGAGGAAAAGGCCAAACAGGACCCATCTTATTATTTGAAAAACACAAACACTGAGACCCGAGAAACACTGCAGGAGCTGTACAAGGAGTTCAAAGGGGATGAAATCTTGGCAGCCACCATGAAGGCCCCAGAGAAGAAGAAAGTGGACCAGCTAAATGCTGTAAGTAGGCAGCTCTGAACCTGTGAAGTGATTCTGGGGCAGGGACTCATGGAGCCTAGGATACATTTGGAGGGGATGTGACTGGGACCTTCTCTAGAACTCTTGTGGCCCTAGGGCCCTGGATACTCAACTCTTAGGACTACTGAGATAGCTGGGCCCCAAGAGGGTGAGGAGGGTCACACAGACCTCCCGACTGAGTGTGAAAGAATGGGTGGTAAGCCAGGGACAAAAGAGTTGGTCAAGCTGAGGAAGGGCTGCTTTATGCCTTGGTCCCTGATCTGAACTCGGATGACTAGCTGTCTGCCTCCAGGGGCTGTGTTTATATCTTAGGACACAGCAGTCTTAGAATATGCAGGTCTGAAGCTGGGCTTGGTGGTACATGCCTATAATCCCAGTTGCTTGGGAGGCTGAGACAGGAGGATCACTAGTTCAAAGCCAGCCTTAGCAACTTAGTGAGTCACTAAGCAACTGAGACTCTTATCTCTATATAAAATATAAAATAGGGCTGAGGATGTGGCTCAGTGGTTGAGTGCCCCTGAGTTCAATCCCTAGTACCAAAAACAAAACAAGACAAAAAAAACCCTGGAGGTCTGTGGTGGCAGGGAGACAGGGCCCACTTGGTACTGGAACCTACAGTAAAGCCAGGGAGACTTTCAGGGACTGCTGAGATGTTTGGGACCGCCTGCCTGAGCTTTGCCTGGAATGTCCTGTTCATGTCTCCTTGAGGTTCCATCAGCAGTGGTAATGCTGGTATTTGTCCCAGTCTCTCAGGCCCAGATCTCTTTCTCCTGTGTGTAGGCATGACTGGTAAGCTAGATCTGCAGGCAGAGTAGAGGCTGGGAGTAGCTAGCTCTGAGTTTCTCTCCCCCATGAGGAATTAACGAACAAAATTTTGGAAAATTAAAAAGAAGTTCAGCTAGGTATGGTGGCACATGTCTGTAATACTAGCTGCTTGGAAGGCTGAGACAGGAGGATCACAAGTTCAAAGGCAGCTTTAGCAATTTAGCAAGGCCCTCAATAACTTGGCCAGACCCTGTCTCAAAATAAAAAATAAGAAGGGCTGGGGATGTTGTTCAGTGGATAAAAGCACCTGAGTTCAATCACTAATACCAAAAAAAAAAAAAAAAAGTTCATTGCCTATAATCTTCCCAATGGAACACAGCCATCCTTAGCACATTGCATTTCTTATGGGCAAGCCCACTTTATTGTCTTCTCTTTAGGATAAAAAATAAATAAGACTTATTAGGACTTGTTTTTTTCTTGATTAAAGTGATCATTTTTTTTCTAAATTTTTTTTTATTAGATGTTGATGGACCTTTATTTTATTCATTTATATGCGGTGCTGAGAATTAGAATTGAACCCAGTGCCTTGCACATGCTAGGCAGATGCTCTATCACTGAGCCACAACTCCAGCCCTTAGATTATCTCTTAATGTAGAACAATTTGAAACCTTTAGAAACAAGTCCCTTGTACTTCTATCCCTGGAGAAGGCTGGCCCTCTGTGATACTTATTCTCAGTGTTGACCTTCCATCATAAGTTGGAGCCTAGTTGAGGCTGTGGACCACTGGTTCCCACCCAGGCCAATTTTACTCCCTTGGGCCTGGCCTTGGCTTCTCCTTCCCACTGCCTTTACCATGCTCCTTGTCCTCTAGCCCTGCTGGCTTCCAGGTTTGAGCACTGAGGGAAAGGCCCTTATAATGCTGGCTGTCTCACTGGGACTGTGTGTGTGTAGTGGTCAGGGAAGCTGAGAGAGAGAGATAGGGAAGGACCTAAGCTGCATGGTTTTCTTGGCAGGCCCACTATTCCACGGGGAAGGTCAGCGCTTCCTTCACCTCCACTGCCATGGTGCCGGAGACGACACATGAAGCAGGTAGCTGCCGGACTCTTAGGTCCCTGGGGACACAAGTTCACAGTAGCAGCATATGGGGCCTCCTTCCTGTCACATAGGTACTGCCCATCCCCAACTTGGGTCCAGATATTTCCAGCACCCCCCTTTTAATTACTGAGTCCCTGCCTGCCCCTTGTGGCCCTAAACCCCATGGTTCCCAGGCAGGTCTGCCTATGAACAGGGCAGACCTTCAGCCTTCAGCTCCTGCACTGCCTTTACAGGTCAGGGGGACTGGGTAGAGGGGCTGTCCCAGGTGAAAGGTGGGATTGGAGCTTGGGCCTCTGTTTAACAGCTGCTATTGATGAAGATGTGCTACGCTACCAGTTTGTGAAGAAGAAGGGCTATGTGCGGTTGCACACCAACAAAGGTGATCTTAATCTGGAACTGCACTGCGACCTGGTAGGTGTGACAGCCAGTCCCCTCACCCAATATGAGGTCTTATCTGCATTCTTATTCAGAGGATGAGGTCTTTTTTTAAAAAATATCTTTATTTTGATTATTTATTTTTATGTGGTGCTGTGGATCAAACCCGGTGCCTCTCATATGTGAGGCAAGTGCTCTGTCACTGAGCCAAAACCCCAGCCCAAAGGATGGGGTCTTATTTCAGCATCCTTGCCTTAAACATGAAGCTACAGTTAGAATATGCTTGTAGCAAGTCCAGCTTGTCTCTCAGGGAAAGCTGAGGTGGTGTCCTGGCTTCAGTGTCAGGGGCCCTGTTAGCAGCATAATGTATCTCCTCAACCACTTGCTGGGCAGGTGTGGAGGTGTGCATGCATTCCAAAAAAGGGACCCGACTCCACTTCTGCTCTGTAGTTGCAGATGTCCTGTTGTTTTAGTTTCTGGGACCCATTCTTGACCCCTTGTTGAGGCTATACTGGACTAGGGTCTCTGTTGCTCTGTAGTCTGGGTAACTGCCCATCCCTGCTCATGATAAAGCCCTGTGTGGCTTTTGTGACCCTAAATTTGGCTGCTTCATGCCTCAGAAGCATTGGGCTATTTTTCAGACACCAAAAACCTGCGAAAACTTCATCAAGCTCTGCAAGAAGTGCTATTATGATGGCACCATCTTTCACAGGTCCATCAGGAACTTTGTGGTGAGTGTCACCAGTCAGTGTTAGCCACAGATGCACTCAGTGGGCATGGGGGAGCTGAATGGGCTTGTCTCTGCCTTGGGTGGGCATCTGGGCCAGGTCTTGGTGGCCTGTGTACATTTTGTAGGTGAATCCTCTGTGAGAGATCTTGAAGACTAGCTTTTAAGTTCCAACCCATGTAGAACTGGGTTCAGGCAGAAAGATGGTCTGGAGGCCTGTTGTCCTCACTGAAACCTCAGCCCCTCTGGTGAGCCTGCCTTGTAGGTGGGGAATATGTTTAGGCAGGGGAGGCAGTGTAGTGGAAGGCAGCAGGTGGCCTCAGGCTGACTAGCTCACTGGCTTTTGTTCTTGCAGATCCAAGGAGGAGACCCCACAGGCACAGGCACAGGTAGGTACTAATGCTACACCTGTCCCTGACACCACTGGCTATTCCTTGGGATGTGAGGGGCAGGTTGGTGAGGTGAGCTTTGGATAGAGAATGTGGAAGACAAGAATTAGGATTGTACCTTAACCACCAGCACTGTGTGCTACCTCAGGCATGTCCCTTTGTTTTCCTGTTTTAGGTGTTTATGAGGCCTGTATGATTGGGGTTAGTGGTGTCTTGTATCTTCCTGGGGCCCCAGAGGCACCCCTCCATCAGAAACAAAGGGAGGCTGGAGGGCCTTAGATCCTGGGCTGGCTTCCCTCCTACTGAATCTCAAACCTCATATTGCCTTTCAGCTGCTTGGGCCCAGCTCACAGCTTCATCCAGCATGGTGCGATGATAATGCCTTATAGCTTTAGAGTTCTATTCCCTGGCTTCTTGGGGACAGGGCTGAGTGATCAACACTCAGCCTATGTGAAGGTGATGGAGTCCAGGGGAGGTTGGCAATGTGATGCCTCAGGTCCAAGGTCTTTTTCTAAAGTACTCCTGCCCCAGTCAATTGCCAATACCCCTTGGGAATCAGGTTTTAGGGCTGCCAACTGACTGTTTTTCTTTATGTTCTAGGAGGTGAGTCATACTGGGGAAAGCCCTTCAGAGATGAGTTCCGGCCCAATCTCTCTCACACAGGACGAGGCATCCTCAGCATGGCCAACTCGGGGCCGAACACCAACAAGTCTCAGTTGTAAGTCTGGGTCCAGTTGGCCCAGTGGGGCTGCCATGGGATGACCTGGGGAGGGACCCAAAGTTTCCTGCAGTGTCTTCCTCTTCTCATTAAAGGTTGTGCAAGGCCTGAATCAAATCCAAACTATATAGCACACCTAGGCTGAGTGTGTATCCCTGCACTCAAAAGGGGGAGCTCCCTGGGCTGGGGATGTAGCTCAGTGGTAGAATGCTTGCCTAATTTGCATGAGGCTCTGGGTTTGATCTCCAGCACTGTTGTCCCCTGCAAAAAAAAAAAAAAAAAAAAAATCCCCAAGCAAGTTACTATTTAGAACTGCGTGTGTTCCTATGAGCAGCATCCAGCAGTTTACCAGAGGTAAAGGCCTCTTAGAGGAAAGCCGATGGAACCAGACTGTGTGAGTGACCAGGAAGACATGCTGGGGAGTTCAGTGTATTGGATTAGTACAATGGGAGGGAGGCATGCAGGGGACAGGTGCTGGAGGTGTAGTTGGGGGACAGAGAGGCCTCTGTGTATGGAACATGGCTACAGGAGGATGGCAGCAGGGCCTGTGGATGCCTGGTCATGTTGGAAGGAGTCAGGCACCTGTATTTTTAAAGAATAGGTATTCATATTTCATTTACTCATTACTTAAGAATTTGGCTTGACTTTCCTTTTGAATATGTCATTTTTGTATGTGTTTGCTAGGGGTCAAACTCAGGGCTTGCACCACTGAGCCACACCCCTGGCCTGTATGTCTTTTTATCTTTTAGTCCGATTTCCTGAATAAAACTACTTAAGAATTTTTGTAATTTGTAGTATTTTTGTAAATGGATTTTTTCTAAGTTGTAGGTGATTATTGCTTATGTAGAGTAAAACTATTTTATATCTACCTACTTTATCAAAATTAGAGTTTTTAAGAAGAATTTCCTGGGTTTTCTAGATATTCAAGTCCATCAATAAAATCTGGTGTCCACTTCCCTGTGTGTGCATCAGTCATATTGATGTCACTATGACCTGTTGGGGCAGAAGACATAGGCATCCTGCCACTCTGAAATGTGGTTTTGCCATCTGATAATATTTGTCACTGGACCTGGTTTTTAGGAGAGGTTAGAAGAATTGCCAGAGACTTTTTTATTACCCTTTGTCAAGATGATCACTTTTCTGTCCTCACTGTAATGTGGTCTTGGTCATGTGAACTGGCTTGATCAGGCATGGGTGGGAGAGGTGTGCACTATCAGGCTTTATGGCCTAGAATAGTTAAAATTGTACTAGTGTCCCCAGGTGTTAATAGTTGGCCAAGGACAGCACATAATGATGTGCTGCTTCCCTCAGGGCTGCCTCTGTACGCCCAGCCAGAATTTTGTCTGTTTGACAAGAATTTGACTCATGTGTCCCAGAATTTTAGTTGTTTCCGTGGAATCCCGAGTTCTCTTTGTCTCAGTGCTGACATCTCCTTTCTTATTCCCAAGCAGTCTGTTCCTTCCTTGTTCATGAAAGATTTATCTGTTTTTAGTTTCTGTGTAATTGTTTTCTGTTTCTACCTTTGATTGCTTCCTCCAGTTTTCTTTTCACTTTCTCCACTTTTAGCTTTATTTACTCTTTACCATGAAGACAGGTGACGTCTACTTTTTTTTAGAGGTGCTAGGGATCAAACACAGGGCTTCAAATATGCTAGGCAAACTCTCTCACCAAGCTGTACCACCAGCCCTGTACATTTGAAGGCTGTATTCCTCATTCACAGCTGATCATTGTTAGTTCCCCTCTTAATTTCTTCTCAGCTTTCTTTCTTTCCTTTTTTCTTTTTTTGTGTGCTGGGGATTGAACCCAGGGCCTTGTGCATGCAAGGGAAGCACTCTACCAGCTGAGCTATATCCCCAGCCTCCTCTTAACTTTCTTATTTCCAAGTAGTTTGGGTACATTTGTTTTTGTTGTTTTGTTTTATGGGGGGTACTTTGTTTATGGAATCTAACTTATTTGAATTAGGATCCCATTCTTGTGGTTGAACATGATGTGGAGTTTCATTGGTCATATATTCACATATGAACATAGGAAAGTTTTGTCTTATTGTTTATTTTTTTGTGACTGGGAAATAAACCCATGTCTTCTATCTGCTGGATAGGCCACTCTACCACTGAGCTGCACACTGTTTTTCCCAGCATTTTTTTGTTTTTGGATACAGGGTCTTGCTAAGTTGCCTGGCTGCTTGCAAACTTGTGATCCTATCAAGGAGCTGGGATTATAGATGTGAGCCAATATTCCTGACTGACTTTTTTTTTGCACCTTACTTATAATTTTTCAGATTAACTAGACTGTAAAACAATGTGGGCCATTTGCCTTCTTTTTTTATTTCTAATATTGTTTTGTACTTGTTCTGACAACTTTTACTTTAGTATCCTCAAAGAATTTTATTTATTTATTTTTTTCTTTCTTTTTCTTTTTTCTTTTTTTTATTATTAGTTGTTCAGAACATTACAAAGCTCTTGACATATCATATTTCATACATTTGATTCAAGCAGATTATGAACTCCCATTTTTACCCCATATACATATTGCAGATTCACATCGATTACACATCTACTTTTTTACATACTGCCATACTAGTGTCTGCTGTATTCTGCTGCCTTTCCTATCCTCTACTATCCCCGCCCCCTCCCCTCCCCTCCCCTCCCCTTCTATCTTCTCTCTCTACCCCATCTACTGTAATTCATTTCTCTCTCTCTGTTTTTTTTCCCCTTTCCCCTCACTTCCTCTTATATGTAATTTTGTATAATAATGAGGGTCTCCTTCCTTTACCATGCAATTTCCCTCCTCTCTCTCTTTCCCTTCCCCCTCTCGACCCTGTTTAATGGTGATCTTCTTCTCATGCTCTTCCTCACTATTCTGTTCTTAGTTGCTCTCCTTATATCAAAGAAGACATTTGGCATTTGTTTTTTAGGGATTGGCTAGCTTCACTTAGCATAATCTGCTCTAATGCCATCCATTTCCCTGCAAATTCCATGATTTTGTCATTTTTTAGTGCAGAGTAATACTCCATTGTGTATAAATGCCACATTTTTTTTTTATCCATTCATCTATTGAAAAGCATCTAGGTTGGTTCCACAGTCTAGCTATTGTGAATTGTGCTGCTATGAACACCTTTTTTCTTTTGTATCCTTCCTATTTTCTTCAGGCTCATTTTATTCTCTTTCTTAGCTTCTTTTACTGTGTTAGAAATCAGCAAGAGAACTACTGGAAGGCAGAATTCAGGTCTGCATAATAGTAGGTTTGACATGAGACTTACTAGAGAGCCTTGTATGTGGTCAGCCTGGTGGGCTCCTTTGGCCAGGTGATGTGTTCAGTGTGGCCTGGTGGTTCAGTCCTGTGTGTCTTGCTGGCAAGGCCTATGCTGGTTGCATAGGATGGGGGTAGCATGATGCTATCTCAGCAGGGTTGTGCCTACCTGCTCCACTGCCTGGGGAGTAGCTTTGTGCCTCCTGATGACTTGCCTCCAAAACATTTCTTGCCTTCTTTCCTGTTTGATGTCTTCTTCTACCCCTTTACTTTCAGCTTTTTATATTCTGAACTTTGTAGAGCTTTTTTTTAAAGGCATACACTTGGATTTTGTTTTATTTTAGTTTATCCTGACAGTATTTTTTGTTTGTTTTAGATATACATGACAGTAGATTGTATTTTTTTTTTTTTTTTTAAAACATATTTATTTATTTAGTTAGTTATTGGCAGACACAACATCTTTGTTGGTATGTGGTGCTGAGGATCGAACCCAGGCCACACGCATGCCAGACGAGCGTGCTACCGCTTGAGCCACATCCCCAGCCCCAGTAGATTGTATTTTGATATAACATATATACATGGAGTATAACTTATTAGGATCCCATTCTTGTAGTTGAACATGATGTGGATTTCATTGGTCATATATTCATATATGAACATGGGAAAGTTTTGTCTGATTTATTCTACTGTCTATTCCCATCCTTCTCCCTTCCCTTCATTCCCCTTTGTCTAATCCAAAGAATAATATTCTTCCTTCCCCCTCTCTTATTGTATGGTAGCATCCACATATCAGAACATTGAGCCTTTGTTTTTTTTGGATTATCTTTTTTCACTTGGCATGATAGTCTCCAGTTTCATTCTTCTTTATGGTTGAGTAATGTTCCATTGTGTATATAGCCCACATTTATTTTCTTTCTTTCTTTCTTTCTTTCTTTCTTTCTCTCTCTCTTTCTTTCTTTCTTTGAAAGAGGGGGAGAGAGAGAGAGATTTTTTTAAAAATATTTATTTATTTTTTTTTTAGTTCTCAGCGGACACAACATCTTTGTTTGTATGTGGTGCTGAGGATCGAACCCGGGCCACACGCATGCCAGGCGAGTGCGCTACCGCTGAGCCACATCCCCAGCCCCCTTTTTTTTTTTTTTTTTGTATCAAGGATTGAACTCAGGCGTACTTGATCACTGTGCCACATTCCCACCCCTGTTTTGTATTTTATTTAGAGACAGGGTCTCACTGAGTTGCTTATTGACTCTCTAAGTTGCTAAGGCTAGCTTTGAACTTGCAATCCTCCTGTCTCAGCCTCCCAAGCTGCTGGGATTACAGATATGCATATGCGCCTGGCCACATTTTCTTTATCCATTCATCTGTTGAAGGACACCTAGGTTGGTTCCATAGCTTAGCTATTGTGAATTGAGCTTCTATAAACATTAATGTGGCTGCATTACTGTAGTATGCTGATTTTAAGTCCTTTAGGTACAAACCGAGGATTGGGATAACTGGGTCAAATGGTGGTTCCATTTCAAGTTTTCTAAGGAATCTCCATTCTGTTTTCTGTAGTGGTTGCACCAATTTGCATTCCCACCATTATAAGTGTACCTTTTCCCACACATCCTCACCAACATTTATTGTTACTTGTATTCTCTTTTTTTTTGATGTGTAGATGGACACAACACAATGCCTTTATTTTTATGTGGTACTGAGGATCGAACCCGGGTCCCACCCATGCGAGGTGAGCGGTCTACCGCTGAGCCACAGTCCTAGCCCCTGTTACTTGTATTCTTTTTTTTTTTTTTAATATTTATTTTTTAGTTTTAGGTGGACACAATATCTTTATTTTATTTTTATGCGGTGATGAGGATCGAACCCAGGGCCCCGCGCATGCCAGGCATGCCACGCCACCGCTTGAGCCACATCCCCAGCTCCTACTTGTATTCTTGATAATTGCCATTCTGACTGGAGTGAGATGGAATCTCGTTATAATTTTAATTTGCATTCCTTTAATTGCTGGAGAAGTTGAACATTTTTTTCATTTATTTTTTGACTATTCGTATTTATTCTCCTGTGAAGTGCCTGTTCAGTTCCTTTGCCCATTTATTTATTGGGTTATTTTGTTTTTTCGATGTTAAGTTTTTTGAGTTCTTTGTATATCCTAGATATTAATGCTCTAGCTAAGGTGCAGTCGGCAAAGATTTTCTCCCATTCTGAAGGCTCTCTGTTCACATTCTTGATTGTTTCCTTTGCTATGAAGAAGCATCTTAGTTTGATACCATCCCATTTATTGATTCTCGATTTTACTTCTTGTGCTTTAGGAATTTTGTTGAGTAAGTCAGTTTCTAAGCCAACAGGATGGAGAGTCGAGCTTACTTTTTCTTCTGGTAAGCACAGGGTCTTGCTCTAATGCCTCAGTCCTTGATCCACTTTGAGTTTTGTGCAGAGTGAGAGATAGGGGTTCAATTTCATTCTACTTCATATGGATTTCACTCTGTTTTCTCAAATGTATGTTTATGGTGCCTTTGTCTAGTATTAGATAACTGTATTTATGTGGTTATGTCTCTGTATCTTTTATTCTGTTTCATTGGTCTTTGTGTCTGTTTCAGTGCCAATACCATGCTGTTTTTGTTACTAGAGCTCTGCAATATAATTTAATGTCTGATATTGTGATGCTTCCTGTGTCACTTTTCTTGGTAAGGATTGTTTTGGCTATTCTGGGCCTCTTATTTTTCCAAATAAATTTCATGACTGCCCTTTCTGTTTCTATGAAGAACGTCATTGGAATTTTAATAGGAATTACATTAAATCTGTGTAGCCCTTTTGGTAGTATGGCTATTTTGACAATATTTTTTTTTTAATATTTATTTTTTAGTTTTTTTATTTTTTATTTTTAGGTGGACACAATATCTTTATTTTATTTTTATGTGGTGCTGAGAATCAAACCCAGTGCCTCATGCATGCACACTACCATTTGAACCACATCCCCAGCCCCCATTTTGACAATATTAATTTTGCCTATCGAAGAACATGGAAGATCTCCATCTTTTAAGGTCTTCTTTAATTTCTTTCTTTAGTGTTCTGTAGTTTTCATTGTAGAGGTCTTTTACTGATTTTGTTAGATTGATTCCCAATTATTGAATGTTTTTTGAGGATATTGTGAATGGGATAATTTTCCTGATTTCTCTTTCAGCTGATTCATCATTAGTATATTGGAATACAATTGGTTTATGGGTGTTAATTTTATATTCTATAAGATCTACTGAATTTGTTTATGAGTTCTAGAAGCTTTCTGGTGCAATTTTTTGGATCTTCTAAATATAGAATCATGTCGTTGACAAATAGGGATAGTTTGAGTTCTCCTTTTCCTATTCGTATCCCTTTAATTTCTTTCTTTTGTCAATTGCTATGGCTACAGTTTCAAGGACTAGTTCAGATAAAAGTTCATTCTGACAGTGTGTGCTTAACTTCCAGTTGGTATACTGCTTCCTAGGATCTTACTTTGTGCTTTTAAGTCACTCTTTTTATGTTTTTTTTTTATTTTTTATTTTTTATTTCCTCTTCTTTCTCCTTGTTTGAAAGTTAGATGTTTTAACTTCTGAGCTAAAGTCTAAAGTTACTAGTACATCTTTACCTTCCCCTAGACAAGACACCTGGAGAGCTTTCCTTCCAGTCACCCCAGCCTTCTCACATGTCAGTGTCATTGTGCATTTTAATTCTTCCCCGTTTTTATATCAGATTAGATGCAGTCATTTTCTGGGTCTTTGTGTATTTATATTACCCAAGTTTCTCAATTCCTTTACTTCCACTCTTGTGTGGCAGCCTCCTTTCTCCTGGTTTGGTGTCCTTCGTCCTTCCAGCAGGGCTTATGGTAGTACAGGACTCTGGTTCTCTCATCCCAGCTGGCTTCTTCTTAAAGCAGCCACTTGAATAGGCTCAAGCAGGGCACGGGGTCTACCCAATAGGAGGTTGGTAACAGCTAAGGAGGCCAACTGCTGTGCTTTATTTTGGGGAACCACAGATCTGGGGTTAATTTGGTGGGCCTTAGCTAACAACCTGTTTTGGACAGGCAGTACGTGGGAGTCAGATGTGCATGATACACATGAAGAAGCTGTGGGTTCACAGAGCAGGCCCTGGAGGGCAGTGGGCTCCTGCTATGGACCCAGTAGTCACTGAGAAGAGCTAGGCTGGGTGGGATAGCTCACAGAATTCCCTCAACCTCTCTTCCTTTTTCCCCAGCTTTATCACATTCCGTTCCTGTGCTTACCTGGACAAGAAGCACACCATCTTTGGAAGGTAAGAGCAGTTGCTGCGTGAAGTCAGGGGTGTCCACTTGGGCCAGGCCATTCTTTCCCCAGCTGGGATCTCTCACTGCCTCTTCCTAACTTGAGCTTGTGCTTGTTGTGCCCTTGTAATGTCTCTGCTGAGGCTGTGGCTGTAGAGTGGGGTATGGGGTATTTCTGTGGAGAGTGGAGAGAGCTCTCCAGACCTGTTGGGTTGACAAGAAGAGACAAGTCCCAGCCCAACCTGGCCAGCTACCCTGGCTCAGACCTTCCACCTTCCCACTCTGGGTACCCTTTGGATAGTACCCAGGTTGGAGGTCAGGGCCAGGTCCTATCTTTCTCTTCATGCTCCAGGTGTGGGGGTTGGCAGACTTTCCCATAAAGGCCTAGATGATATCTCCAGCTTGGTGGGCCACATGGTCATCTGGGGTTCTGGCATAAAACAGACACAGAAATATGGAAGCAACAGATGTAGTTCTATCCAAATAACTGGGAGTTGGATTTGGACCCAGTTATGGTCTATTTACTTTACCTTCTCTCTTTCAGCCCCTCCAGCAGCTCTGCTGCTGTCCAAGGAGTCAGGCCAATCTGATTGGGTGGTGATTTCATGGGGCCCCATATCTTGGGCCAGTTCCCATTCTGGTGTGCCTCAGGGACTTTGAGGTGTGCTGCCCCAGGGCACATGCATACTCACCTGTCCCTCTGCTCCAGGGTTGTTGGGGGCTTTGACACACTGACAGCCATGGAGAATGTGGAAAGTGACCCCAAAACTGACCGCCCTAAGGTATGTAGCCAGGGAAAGCATAGGGGCCACTGCCTAGTTGTGCAGGGGAGCCTGCTGTTTACTCACTCAACTTGCCCATGTGCCACCAGGAGGAGGTCCGCATTGATGCCACCACAGTGTTTGTAGACCCCTATGAGGAGGCAGATGCCCAGGTAAGGAAGGCACAGTGCTACCATCCTGGGAGGGCTTTGGGCAAGATATGTCATTCCTCACTGGGGCAGAAGGACCTCCACATCTCCAAGACACTCCAGGTCACCCACAGTCCTGTTCCTCTCCAGATTGCACAGGAGCGGAAGAAGACACAGCTTGAAGTGGCCCCAGAGGCCAAGGTGAAGTCCAGCCAGCCTCTGCCTGGGAGCCAGGGCCCCCAGACATATCGCCAAGGGGTGGGCAAGTACATCAATCCAGCTGCCACGTGAGTAGGGCAGGTGGCTCTGCCATATCCCTCCCAAAAGCTAGGACCCATTTTCTACAGTGCTCCCATAGGCATATCAGGCAGTGGCAAGAAAACCTAATATAGATGTGGGACTGAACTTGTGCCCTGGAGGTCACTGCAGCCACAGGGACTATTCCATACAGGTTTGGGCAGGGCTTCTGTGCAGGCCAAAGAATCTGAGCACTGGGAGTTATGGGATTTCTATGAGGGGAGGGCCAGTAGTAGATTTCAGTTCATTTTGAGAGGGATGTGGGAGGGCATGGGCTCCTGGCACATGTGTGGCTGCTATAGCCTGTTTGTTTTCTCAGGAAACGAGCAGCTGAAGAAGAACCATCAACCAGTACAGCTGCATCCATATCCAAGAAAAAGCCCAGTCGGGGTTTTGGGGACTTCAGCTCCTGGTAGCAGCAGGTGGTTACTCTGGATCCTGGTAGGGATGAAGGGTTAGGGGAGGTTTGTGCCTGTATTCCTGACTTTTCTGCCTGTCTTTCAGGCTATGATCCAATAAAGCTCTTGCCTGTTGCCTGGGTCCCCTTTACTGGCCCCTGGGACCTTGGCTTCCCCATCCTTCACCTGGTGTTGGGGTCCCTTGCTTCTTTCCAAGCTTGAGCCAAGCCTTGGGTCCTGCCCTAGACCCCACATGGGGCTCTGGTCTCCTGTGGGCAGGCCCAGGTTAGTGAGAAAGGCCTTGTCTCCTCCTGTGCTTTCCTTACCCTTACCCTTTTTTCTGTCATCTCAGGACAGTCCATATCCTCTGATCTCCTGGTACTACTTGGGACCTTGTTAGAAACACAGATTCTCAGACGACTCCAGACATGATCCTGAGCTTCTGGGAGCTGAGACTCCCTAGTCTTTTTTTTTTTTTTTTTTTTTTTTGAAGCGGGGCAGTACTGGGGATCAAACCCAGGGCCTAAGCACTCTACCACTTATCCCCAGCCTTTCCCTAGTTTATTTTTAGTTGTAGTTGGATACAATATCTTTAATAAATTTATTTTTATGTGATGCTGAGGATCAAACCCAGGGCCTTGCCCGTGCTAGGCAAGTGCTCTACCTCTGAGCCACAACCCCAGTCCCCTAGTCTGTTTCGACAAATGCTCTGGGGCTTCTAACTCTGGAATAGAGCCTTGACAATACTCTGCCACTCCTTGCTTGGAACTGGGCACGCTCACCTTTGGATGTATTAAGCCGCCTTGTCTCTCCACCCGAGTAAAACGTCCATGAGGCTTATAGCCCCTGCTGTGATGAGGATAGGGGACAGCACTGGACCTCACTGCTGAGACCCTGCTTCTCAGTCACCAGCTCCTCTGCCAGGCCAGTTCCCTCAGCATTCCTGACTTAAAGGTTCCTTCCATTGACCCATTTTTCTGTGAAAAGTGTCCAAAAAATTTCCACCCACATGTTCCTGATCACTTTTTGTTCCCTCTTCAGTCTGGCAGCCTAGCTTCTAGTCTCCTTATACCTTGGTTTCCTCTAAACACCTCTTCGGGAGCATGGTTTCTGCCTCTGGGGAGAGTGTCAAGTCAGTATTCGTATTCTCTGGCACCAGACCTATTAGATGATGTGTCTGTCCTTGGTCCATCACACCTCCTCCAATCTCATCACATTAAAATTCTAATGTAGGCTTGATTCTTGTGTTGATTCTTGTGTTTCTCTTTCCTCATTTACAACCTTGAATCCATCAGCACCTCTTGGTTCTAGAATATACCCTGGGCTCTTGATTTTACATCCCTGATACACCACAGGCCTGAGCCCTTTGCCCTCTGGATGGCAGGCATGCCCTTGCCCACTTCCATACTGTTGTTACCAAGTGATCTTCATGAGGCACATTTTCCCACTGTCATGTCATCTTGCTTCATGCCAGCCACTGGCTTTTCTTTGGCTGAGAACAAGGTCTATACCTCATCCCCACAGGCCAGCTCCAACTTCTCCAGCCTCTCCCTCTGTAGCCACCCATGCCCATCAGTCAGAACCCTGGGCTCCTTGGTGACCCTGCAGCATTCCCATTTCATACCTCTTCACATCTCCCACCAGGTTTTCATCACTGTTTATCCCTGCCCACTTGTCTGATAATTCACCTTTGCAAGAAAATGCTCAACAGGATGCAGTGACAAGCCTGTAGACAGGGTGGGGAAGGGAGAATGCTGGAGGGGACTATATGACTCTGATCATGCATGAGGGTGCTGCCTGACTCTTCAGCCATTATTTTAACTGACTGTACTCTTATCCTTTTCTCTGGTCATAGTCAAAAGCTCGCGACCAGGCAGTGTGACACAGCAGTAGGACTCTAGCAGCTCTGAGACCCCAAAACAGCCCTCTGCTCTGGGTGAGCTCTGCAGGAAACCTGGGGCTCATCCCTCATTAAGGGCACAGCCTCGTCAACAATGAGCACCATGTAAAACAAGAAGTCTGACATCAGAAGCTTTATTTATAAACCTCACACAAACATAGGACCAAAGGCCAGTGGCATGGCTTGGGGTAGGGGAAACTGAAGGCGGTGTGTGCACTTGAGCTTGATCATCCTTGCTCCTTGAAGCGAAGCTTCCTGCTGCCTCCAGGCTGCTGTCCATCTGTCCATCCAGCCTTATCCAGTGATCTGCACCTGCCCCAAGGGGAGGGCCACATCCTCACCCAAACTTGCCCTCCAGGGCAGAAGACAGGCCTGACCAAGTCCTTTGACAGAAGGTTTATATTTCTGTAGTTCATTTTAGAGCTTAAATTATGTCCTTCTAGATATTAAACCACTTGGATTTTGTAACTGCCTGATGAGATCATCAGGTAGAATAAACGACTTTTGGAAAAAAATCTCATCTCTGATCCTTTTGAATATCTGACAGATGCCATCAAGAATAAATTTTAAGATATAAAAATACTATGTGTGTACATATATAAAATGACAAAACTAAACCACCTTTCTAAAGCAAATGTACTGTGCCAGAATATACTACAAATGTATTTATAATCCTAGATACAACTCCAAATATTCTCAAGGAAAAAATTTAAATAAATAGAAGTCATGGGATGAGAGTTATTGTTTAGGAATTTAAGAGGGTGGAAATTTCCAGCACTTCACCAGCACATCTGGTTGTGGTCTTGTGAGTATTACTTCCCCTGATGCCAGCTCATGGTCAGTTCATTTGGTTTACAGTTTAAAAAAGAAACTTATATTTCTCAGAAGACCACCACCATCAACAAAAAATGATAAAAGTTGTGTTGGTATCCATTACCAACAAAAGTACAAAATAAGTCATAAGAGTACTAGTAAAAAATTTTCAATCAATGCCATCACAAAAGACGATACAAAAACCAAAGTGCTCAAATGAAAGGAGCAGTAAACTTGCCCAGAACATATAAAAGCTTTAACTATAACCTTAGTATATACAAAAATGGGTCAGAAAAATTCTAGAAAAGTCTCTTCAATTTAAGTAAAACATTTATGGAATCGTACTTGGGCTGCACTCTAGGCAGGCTAGTGAAGCCATATCATTTCTCCTCATTCTCTGAGCCTCCAAGGCTAAGTTCCCACTTGCAAAAGGAATGAAGACTAGAAAGGAAGTCACTGTTTAGCTATTTTTCACTTAGTGCTCATTTGTCAAGGAAGATGTCTTTCCCCTTTACAATTTCTCATAATGGACAGAAGCCACAGACCTTGCTACTTCATGTGCCACTCACAAGTGAAGCATCTTTAGATTTCAGACCTTGGGAGCAACAACTCCAGGCTCTGGCCACCTCAGGGTGGAAAGCTGTTTAACAGTAATACAGGAGCACAATAAGCCAGCCTCAGTCTACAAGAGACTAGCTCAAGAGAAAGCAGCTTGCTGGACCACCACCAGATGCAGAGGCTTACAGGCTGTGCAAAGATGTCCTTTCTTTTTTAGGGTGAAGATGTGCTTAAAGTAACCTGGCACTGTTACTCCTGCTAAGCTGATAATGGCTTGGTGACATGCCCACTAAGTCACTGAACCCAGGACAATGCATTTCCCACATTCCAAGGCATCTAGTCTTGGGCAAAGAGATGGCACCAAAGGGTAGGCTCTGGGATGAGCACTGAACTGGAGCCAGGTGGCAACGCAGTGCCTGCACTGGTGACGGGACCTGGGCAGCTGGGGAACTGGAACTGTCCAGAGACGGTTTCACAGTCACTTGCTAGGCTGAGAGCTATCAAAGCACACTGCTCTTCTAGCTCTCTGCCTCCCTACCACCAGCCTTTTTTTCTACCCCTCTTCCCTAAGCTGGGGTACAAATTGTTGAAACCCAAAACTTATGTAGAAATGTTTTCTAATCTCCATTCTCTGCAGATCGGCTGATACCCTTGAATAGTGCCCATGCACTGCAGAGGCACAGGAGGATGGTGGGCCATGACTTTAAAAAAATCTGTGACAGAAACCCAGCATTTGGGAGACTGCCCAGGTCCCTTCCACATCAGCCCGCATGACAGCACCAGAAAGGGGAAAGGTGACTTACCTAGCAAGCCAAACACCTTTCCTTTACAACATTTAAACCCGTCTTGCAATTTTTAACCTTTTCTGAAGAAATTTTAATCTGGCAAATCTCAAGTTAGGAAGTTTTCCTGCTGGTTCTGGCCTCTTTCATATGCAAAAATAATTCTTTTTCTTCAAGTACGTCCAGGTAGAAAATGAAATCCAGCTTCATACTTGGTCCAGCATGCTACTCTATAATGAACCAGCCATTCAGCAACTGCCAGACTTGTGAGCCACTGTCACTACTGAGGGTAAAACCTCCAGGTCCAGACCTGTGAGGCTATCACCTCAGTAATGGCCTCTGCAGGGCCCTGGGATGGTCTTTTCTAGAGATTAGTTCACTTGCTTTCTAGATAAGGAATCTATTGCCTTAAAGAAACAATGTTCATTAGACATATTTCTCTATTTATAGCTTATCTAAAATGTATTGGTTATGTTCCATTTTTGAACAGGCTAAAACAACAACAACATAAAAAACCACTCTGGGTGGATAAATTTGTTGACTGCTTCTGAAAGATTCTTAAATGGACACTATGCCTTACGGTTTACATGTAGGAGGAATAACCAATTTGTAGTTTTGAGAATTGGGGTAAAACAAGCTACCTTAATCTAAAAAAGGGAGAAGTGAGACTTGCTCTTGAAAGAGACCTTGCCTCTCTGGTCTTTAGGGACTTAGTTTTAGATTTCTATTAAACATGAAAAAGCACAGCCAAACTATATTGAAGGCATAGGTTAAAAGAAGGTATTAATTAGGCAAATAAGTCATCAGTTGGTTAATTCTTTTTCTAGAACTTGAGAAGTTAGAAAAAGATCATTGCAAACTTTCAGAAACAACCATGTACATGAACAGGACACAAATTAGGGATGCCTTACCCAAGGAGATGGCCAAGAGAGGCCTTTGAGTGTCAAAGCACGGCTAGCCTGTGAGGTCAAAGTTCAAGAAATATTGTCATCCAGGATGCTCTTACATCTCCATTACACTTCAGTCTCTTTCACAAAATAGTATTCAAGAGAATGGAAAGTTTCCACTTTACTCCCAACCATTGTCTTTGATCATGTGGGCAAGCTCAATAATAAATTTTCCTTCCTTATATTTCTGACTGCTCTCAAAGGCATGTTCCTTGGGAGGGGGGGAAAAAAGTAGAGAGAAGGTTTCAGGACAGAATCTTTCATTTTTCAACTTCATTATACCTTTTTTTTTTTTTTTTCTTGGTGATGAGGTTTGAACCCAGGGGCACTCTACCACTGAGCCACAAGCCCAGCAATTTTTATTTTGAGACAGGGTAGAAAATGCAGTCTCCCCAGCTGCTGGGATTATAGGTATGTACCACCATGCCTGGCTTTCCTTTTCTTACAAAAATAGGGATTAAAGGCCACCCTAATTTGGTTCTGGGGATTTAACCCAGAGGTGGTTTACCATTAAGTTACGCACACTGCCCTTCTTATTTTTTTAGACAAGGGTCTTGCAAATTCCCAAGGCTGGCTGTGAACTTGCAATCCTTCTGCCTCAGTCTCCTGGGATTACAGGCCTGTACTGCTGTGCCCATCTGTGCAGTGTTAATTCAAACCTTCAAAGACCAGGATTTGGGATATAGCTCACTGGGCAAGCATGTGCTTAGCTGGTTTGAGGCTGTGGGTTCTATCACCAGCACACCAAAAAAAAAAAAAAAAAAAAAAAATCTGTTTACTGAACATGTACTATGCATAGGGCAATTTAGGAGATATGATTGATATGAAGCACAGAGACATCAGTAAAAAACAGGTCAAAAATGCTCAGGAGCAGGCCTTTTATACAAGGACTATGGATACCGTCCTATCATTTTTTAACACTGAGTATATGGCCTGATGATACCTGTGTTGGGGACATAAATGACTAGGGTGAGTTGTCTGGTAGGCACAGAAGAGATGGTCCCAGTAGGAAAGTAGCAGGTATAGCCATAGAGGAGACACATGGTATGGTGTCCATGAAGGGATGGCAGGGCTTCTGGAAGAAGGGCTCTGTGTTCCCTCACATTTTATGGAGGATCAGAGATGGTCAGAAATTCAAGAAAGAGGGAGATCAGGCAGCCCTGACCTGAAAAACTCTGGAGCCACAAATAATGTGGCAAATACCTTAAAAAAAGGAGGGCTCCATGTGTAACAGGCCTCTCGAATGGTATTGTCAAGGGGGGGGGCTCCATAAGATGGACAGGTGGCTTTTGCTAGGAGAGAAGCTGGGGCAGAGTTGGACCTTAGGAAGCTGTCAACACAGAGGGGATCAGAAGCATGTCAGGCTCATGTGGCCTGGGACAGAGAGGGCTCAGCAGATGAAGGCGGGCAGCAGACAGTGTTAGGAGGAGACCAATCATCCTCACTGGCCTCGGACACCTGAGTGCTAGGGGACCAGGGAGGAGGACAGGCCTTAGAGTGGGGAAGAAGGTCCAGGCTTATCATCTTTCAGATTCACCGTGTCATCAGAGAAGGAATGGAGAGATGAAGGCTAGAGATAGGGCAGAGATGGCAACCATCAGCTCATGGTCCAGGGAAAAAAAGAAGAGCCCTGGGAGAAGAGTCTTTGGGTAACCTCTGCCTCTGAGCCCAGACACTGAGTAGTCTGCTGAACTTGCTCCAAACAATGGAACTCCCTTCATGGAAGTGCCTTTCAGGCTCTTGGAACCTGGGGCAGCCCCATGCATGACTGGTCCTGTGCCTTAACCAGCTTCCAAAGAAACTGCTGAAAATATGTCATTGACGGATACCACTCCAGAGAGAGGTATGACTCAGTTGCATAAGCTGTGTGTGCATGTGTGGCATATTGTATACATTACAGCACACCAGTTAGAAGATGTAGGTACTCACATATTTCCACCCGAGTGTGGTCTTGCAGTTCTCACAGTAGATGTCTGCAACTGCATGCAGCCCAGTGAGAAGGACCCTCTCCTCAGCGGGACCGCAGCCCACGTTCACCCTGTAGGGACACAGGTGACCACCCTGAAGGCCCATATTCCCAGGCCCCACTGCTGGCTTCCTCCCACCCTGTCCCCCTCCCCAATTATTGAAAGTTCACCAGAAAGCAGCACTGCACCTTTTCAGCTCCCCAACCTCCTGCCAGCTACCACCTTTAATGAGAAAGAATTTTTCTTTTCTTTTTGCAGTGCTAAAAATGAAATCCAGGGGCTAGGGTTGTGGCTCAGCAGTAGACCGCTTGCCTAGCACGTGCAAGGCCCTGGGTTTGATCCTTAGCACTACATAAAAATATTAAATAAAAGTATTGTGTCCAACTATAACTAAAAAATAAATATTTAAAAAAATGAAATCCAGGACCTCACACATGCTAGGTAAGCATTCTACCACTGAACTACACCCCCAGGCCCAGGAGCAACTTTTTCTCTCCCCACAAGGATCCCAACATGGGACAGACTGCAGGAAACTAAAGTCCTTAGACTACATTTTCAAAAACTCCCAGCCATAGAAAACTAAAATTCTTTCAGGTCATATAAAGGCATTGGCTGGGTAATTCCAGTCCATAGGTGGAACTCCATTTATATATTCCAGCTATGCATAATTGAACAGGAGTTGGACAGAAGTGATCAATGCCACACGATGGGAACCCCAGGCCACCTGCCAGACAGCAAGTACTCACACAGAATTGAAGAGGTAGGCTCGTCCCTGACTTCCCTGAAAGGACTGTAAAGAAGAAGAAGGTGTTAGAAGATTGGTTGAGATAAGCCCCTGAGGAATTCTGCTTTCTGGAATGATTTGGAACAAGGTGAGAGAGCTGCTCAGTCTTGGTGATCCTGTGGAAGTAGTAGTCCCTAGAGTATCATGCTAACCAGGGTTCCATTAACTCCACCAGAAGAGGTTACAAAGAACAGGACAGATGCCCCTCCAAAACTCTAATAATAAATGAGGTGAACAAACTGATTTTTCATCCATATTGAGTTGGGAAGTGAATTACTCTGTTGCTCCAACATTCTGAAAGTGACTGTATTGGAACATCATGGCAATACAGCACCAGGCATAATGGTATACACCTGTAGTCTAAGCTACTTGGGAGGCTGAAGCAGGAAGATCACTTGAGGGAAGGAGTTCAAAGTTAGTCTAAAATAAAACCAAAAAATGGTCATGGTCTAAGATGATCCATTCCCAGGAGTCAATGATCTTCCAGTGACATCTCACCCCAAAATGTTACCAGCCAAGAAACTGATCTAGTATATTCATATATTCAATGTAAATTAATCAGAGTAAGGTAGTGTGCCTCTCTTGAAAAGGAAAAAATGCCCCATGGGAGGGTTCATCTGCTCTGGTGCCAGGCTCAAATGACTCACACAGCTACAGCATGGTCAACCTGCAAAATAATCAAAAGAAATGCAAACCAAATCAAGGTGTTTTTTTGTTTTTTTTTTTTTGCCCATCACCTTAACTTAAAGTCAAAAGGCTGTGAGGAATGCTTGCTGGGACATAATTTGACAACATCAAATTATAAAAGGCACATCCGGGCATGATGGTACACATCTGTAATCCCAGCAGCTCAAGCAGCTAGACAGGAGGATTGTGAGTTCAAAGCCAGTCTTAGCAACTTAGTGAGTCACTAAGCAACTCAGTGAGACCTTGTCTCTAAAATAAAATATAAAATAGGGCTGGGGATGTGGCTCAGTGGTTGAGTGTCCTGAGTTCAATCCCCAGTACCAAAAAATAAAGGAAAAAGAAAAGGCACAAACTGTATGACCCAGCAATCCCACGTTTAAGTATTTACTATGAAGAGCTGGACGTGGTGGTGATCGCTGTAATCCTAGTGGCTGGGGAGACTCAGGCAGGAAGATCTCAAGTTCTAAGCCAGCCTCAGCAACTTGGCAAGGACCTAAGTAACTTAGAGCCTGTCTCAAAATAAAAAAGGCTGGGGGTATGGTTTAGTACCTCTGTGTTCAATCCCTGGTACCTACCCCCCCCCCCCCCGCAAAGAATTTACTACAAAGAACCAATCAGCTTGAGTGCATAAGGAAATGTGACAGAAATGGTCACTGTCACAATATACATAATGGGGGAAAAAAAGGTGAGGCGGGGAGATTCTCATCATGTAAACAATGGCATCCATATACAGGATTCATGTAGAGGATGGGGAAACAGGCTGGTGAGTATAATGGAAAGAAATTTACAAAAAATTAAGTGTAAAATAAGTGTCAGTGTAAACTCTTCATTTAGAGTGAATAATGTGGTTTCTATAGACCAAAGAAAAGACATCATATTGTCAAGCCATTAAGAGGGCTAACTGCAAGGAACAGAGGTAGAACAAGGCAAGCGGAAAGACCAATTCTCCTTTTACTTTGCATATATATTTTTTTCCTTTTTGATGGTGCTGGAGATTGAACCCAGGGTCTTGTGGAGGCACTCTATCACTGAGCTACATCTCCAGTCCCTTTTATCTTATTGATATAGGGTCCTGATAAATTGTTCAGGTTGGCCTCAAACTTGCAATCCTTCTGCCTCAGCCTCCTGAACGGCTGGGTTACAGGTGTGTACCATAGCTCCTGGCCCAGTACTTTTTTTGTGTGTGTATAGGAGATTGAACCTAGAGGCACTTAACCACTGAGCAACAAAAGTCTTTTTTAAAATTTATTTTATTTTTAATTTTTTGGTATAGGGGATTGAACTCAGGAGCACTCAACCACTGAGCCACATCCCCAGCCTTATTTTGTATTTTATTTAGAGACCGTGTCTGAGTTGCTTAGCGCCTCACTGTTGCTGAGGCTATCTCAGCCTCCAGAGCCACTGGGATTACAACTCCTTTTTATTTTTTGAGACAGGGTCTTCCTAACTTGTGAGGCTGGCTTTGAACCTGTGATCCTCCTGTCTCAGCCTCTTGAGTCACTGAGATTATAGGTGTGTGCCACCACGCCTGGCCCAATAAGCATTAGTTTATATTTGATTGAATCCAGGGGTACTTATCCACTGAGTCACATTCCCAGCCCTTTTTGTACTTTATTTAAAGACAGACTTTGAATTGCTTAAAGTCTTGCTAAATTGCTGAGGCTGGCTTTGAACTCGTGGATCCTCCTGCCTCAGCCTCCCCAGCCACGAGGATTACAGGTGTGTGCCACTGTGCCTGGCTAAGCATTACTTTAATGGATAATTATAAGCAATAATTTCTTTTAAAATTAAAAGCAAAAAACAAAAAACAAAGGGAGAGCACCTGCTTGACCTTAATAGACATCTCTCATCTGAGCATGAAATAAATCTTTATTTTAAGCCACTGAGATCTGACTTTTTTCTACCTCACTTGATGCAAACAGCATTTGAGTTTTTGTTTTTGTTTTGTGTTGGGGGGTTGAGTCCAGAGCCTCTGGCATGCTAAGTACTAGCATGAGCTACAAGTACCCAGCCAACCAGGAATGTTTTAATTTTACAATACAGCTTTCAGACTTAAAAGGGGTATTTCCTTAAGTGGTTTTCTAGGATTTGAAATATCATTCTGTGTTCAATTTAACTAATAACTGTTTTATAGAACTTTTGCATATCCTGGCCAGGCATGGTGGCACAAGCCTATAATCCCAGTGAACAAACTTGGGAGGCTAACATAAAAATTGTACATTTGAGGCTGACCTTGGTTATCAAGACCCTGCCTCAAAAAATAATAAACCCTGGGGATATAACTTAATGGTGAATCACCCTTGGGTTCAATCCTCAGTACCAGTATGGAGAAGGGGGAGAACTTTTGCACATCCTCGTTAGCCTTCAGTTTTCTAGACTAGTTTTCTTGCCTATTATGCAAGTCTTTAGTTTCCAAGAGGAAATGACAGAAGCAGCTCTGCAATTCAGATTCAGATGTTAGTCTGACCAGAATGTGGGGCAGCTAACTTCTGTAAATTAGGGCCAGGAGAGGGATGGGTATGGTGGTACATGCCTGTGACCCCAGCTAATGGAGACTGAGGAAGGATGGTTGCCAAGTTTGAGGCCAGCATGAGCAAGTTGGCCAGACCCAGTCTCAATGTAAAATAGGAACAACTAAGGAAGTAGTTTAGTGGTAGAGTGCTTGCCTTCTGCTCTTGATGTAATGTTAAAAACAGCTAATGGTCTAGGGTTCTTTAAAGGAAGCATCTAAAATTCCTTCTGGCTACCTCTAATGACTGATACACCCAGGATGCTCCAGAAAAAAAGACCACACTGGTGCCCGACTATCTGTTCAGGTGAAAGGTCATGGCCAACAGCAGGTGTCATTGCTCAGTGAGATTACCAAACCCCACAGTCCCTAACTGAAGGCCCAGAGTGCTCTGCCAGTCATTATCTCATGACACCTTTTTACACACTGCACCTGTCTCAGAAAATGAGGTGCCTCAGGAGCTTCTACCACTTTCCTGAAAGTTCTGGATGGAAAAAGGAGCCACAGAAGCAAAGAGAGCAGAAAATCTGCGTTGTTTAACATGTTTTATTTCAGATGATAAACAGAAATAACATTTATTACTATTGAAAATGCAAGAGATAAATGTTATTCAAATTGAGTTAAACAATAAACCTACGAAGAGATTCTTGGAAGGTGCAACTTCCTGATGAGAAGTAGCCCAGGTAGATAGGTGGGGGGGTGAAGATTGGTTCCCAGAATGAATATTCGCTTTTCCATTATATTTGTATTATTCTAAATGTTCACATCTGGTTGATTATAACCATCACATCTGCTAATAAAGAGCTCAATAGAATGAGGAACCAGGATGCTTATTTATGTCTTGGGTCTGGAGGTACAGACCCCCTACAGCTTTAGTCGTGGGCTCTTACAGACCATGGCACAGGTGGGCATGTCCCCCTAGGCATTTTCTTCTCTTTATATTTTTTTCTTTTTGGTTCTAGGGATGGAACCCAGGCTCTTGGGTATGCTAATCAGGTGGTCTACCACTGAGCTTTACACCCAGTGCTCTGGGCATTTATCTGAGCAGCCTCTTTCCTTGTTAATTACTCTAAACTAGTCCTACAGATTTTCTATAGACTTCATTTCTTTCATGTTCTCTGATTTCATATTAATTTCACTGCTTTGACAAATAACTGACTCATCTTGCTCTTAGTAATCTACAAGAATTCCAGATGCCCAGTTCTCCAACACCCATCTATTGTGCCAAGATTACAATAAAGATGTTGGTGTAGGGTCTGGAGTTGTGGCTCAGTGGTAGCAGAGTGCCTGTCTGGCATGTATGAGGCACTGGGTGTGCTCCTCAGCACCACAGAAAAAATGTAAATAAAACAAAAGTATTATGTCTACCTACAACTACAAAAAAAATTACAAAAAAAAAAAAGATGTTGTTGTAGCCACATTTAATCATGCACAAAACTTTCACCAACACTGCCCAGAAGGCTGTAGACCTTTACAACACAGCAAATTCAGGAAGTCATGTGGTATACTAAGTAAGTACCATGATGACAAATGAAAATTGTGTTAAGTGTGTTTCATGAGGTTTTTTTTTTAACTCAAACCACTTGCCTTGGAGATCAGCTCGTCGTGATTGGCCAGGTGGGCTCTGCAGTGGATACAGCTGTACGTTCGGTGACAGTTTGGTAGGTAAGCTTGGAACGTTTTGGATTTGGTCATTTTCACCATTTCTGCTGGATGCTCCTCACTCAGCTCAGGGCTGGCACTTGAAGACCTGCGGCTCTGCTGGACTCTCTGACAAAAGAAACACTGGAAAATGCACGCAAGAGCCGTTGTTGTTTGGAAGGGTGTGTGGCACTGTCCACACAGCTGGGACAAGAAAAAAATGTCACAACCTGTCAACAAATCAGACATAGCTATGGGTTATATAAAGAATAAAATATATATTATTAAGGAGTTATGTTTAGAATTCATGTGTTTTGAAGAATGGGGAGGGGGGCAAGACTAGAAATTAAAGATCTCACTTTTCATTATTTTTGGTGGTGCTAGGGATCAAATCCAGTACCTACCACTTGGCTACATTTCGAATCCAATATCTATTCTTTAAATGTACTTAAAAAGAATACTGTTAACCATTCTACATTTAGTTAGAAGTGGTAAGTAGACTAATTTTAAATACAAATAGATGAGGAAAAAACATTTGATTAAATACATCTTATACCATGCCTGGCTTTAGGAAACATGAAGGAAAAGGAAAATGCAGCCAACATGGACTCCTAAATGAGATCAGCAGCAGTACTGGATACATCCCAAATCCGGGAATAATGACTCAAAGCACTAAGACATTTGAGTGATGGATCCAGTACTAACTAAACTTTAATAAATTACCTGCCAGTCTAGAGATAAATTCAGATTTAGACTCAAATACAGTCAAATAAATTTTGACAAGGACATCAAGACCATTCAATGGGGGAGAGGAATCTATTTTTAACAAATAATGTTGGAAAAACTGGATAGCCATGTGAAAAAAAAAAAAAAAGTTGGACCCTCACATAAAACTATATGGAAAAATTAGCTAAAAACTATATAAAATTCTTAGAAGAAAACATAGGGAGAAAGCTTGGGATATTAGATTTTGCAATAATTTCTTGGATCTGACATCAAAATCACAGGTAACAAAGGGAAAAAAATAGACAAATGGGATTTCATGAAAATGAAAAACTTTTGTACTTGAAAGGATACTATCAATAGGGTGATAAAGTAACCAACAGAATGAACGAAAAGTATTTTCAAATACACCTGATAAGTTGTTAATATCCAGAATATAAAAATAACTGCAATCAACAATCACTACCAAAAAAAAAATTTGATATAAAAATGGGGAAAGGGGCAGGAAGGGCTGGGATTGTGGCTCAGCGGTAGAGCACTTGCCTAGCATGTGCAGGGACCTGGGTTCAATCCTCAGCACCACATAAAAATAAATGAATGATATAAAGGTATCGTGTCCAACTACAACTAAAAAAATAAATATTAGAGGCTAGGGTTGTGGCTCAGCAGTAGAGCACTCGCCTAGCATGTACGAGGCACAGGGTTCGATCCTCAGCACCACATAAATGTAAAATAAAGATATTGTGTCCACCTAAAAATAAAAATTAAAAAAAATATTTAAAAAAAAAGAAAGGCTAGAGCTATAGCTCAGTGGTAGAGTGCTTGCCTTGCAGGTGTAAGGCTCTGAGTTCGATCCTCAGCACCACATGAAAATAAATAAACAAAGATATTTATAAAAAATGGGCAAAGATATGCAAATGGCCAGTAAGTGCATGAAAAAATATCCAACATCACTAATCATTAAGGAAAGGCAAGTCTATAATCTTAGCAGCTCAGGAGGCTGAGACAGGAGGATTGTGAGTTCAAAGCCAACCTCAGCAAAAAGCAAGGCACTAAGCAACTCAGTGAGACTCTGTCTCTAAATAAAATGCAAAATAGGACTAGGGATGTGGTTCAGTGGCCAAGTGCCCCTGAGTTCAATCCCCAATACCCTCAACCCCTGCCAAAAAAAAAAAAAAAAAAAAGAACCAGAAAATAAAAAATGTTAGCAAGCACACGGAGAAATAAGAACTCTTGTGCACTGCTGGTGGGAATAAAATGGTGCAGCTGCTATGAAAAACACTATGGTGGCTCTTTAAAAAAGCAAGCATGGAATTACCATATTGTTATGGTTTAGATATGGGGTGCACCCACAAAACTCATGTGAGACAATGCAAGAATTTTCAGAGATGAAGTGAATAGGTATATGAAAGGTATAACCTAATTAATGTATTAATCCACTAATAGATTAACTGGGCAGTAACTGTAGGCAGATAGGATGTGGCTTGAGGAAGTAGGTCCCTTAGGGTGTGACTTTAGGGTTTGTATTTTGTCCTTGGTGAGCACAGCTTGCTCTTGCTTTCTAGTTGTCATGTCCAGAGCTGCTTCCTTCTGCCACTTCCTTCTGCCACTTCCTTCTGCCACACCATGGGCCCAGAGCTATGGAGTTGGACAACTGTGGATTGAAACCATGAGCCAAAATAAACTTTTCTTCCTCTCAACCGTTCTTGTCAAGTATTTTGGTCACTGCAACACAAAAGCCAACTCAAACATATATGGTCCAGAGAGACATACATACCCAAGTCCTTTCAGCAGTATTATCACAATAGCCAAGAGGTAGAAGCAACCCGAGTATTCATGAACAGATGAGTCATGTATAATGTCATGTATAGAATATTAGTTTTTTAAAGGAAGGAAATGTGGGCACATGCTACAACATGAATAAATCTTAAAGATAGTATGCTAAGTGAAATAAGGCAGTCACAAAAGGACAAATACCTAGGAGATACCTAATCAAATTCATGGAGACAGAAAGTCAAATGGTGATTTCTAGGGACTAAGGAGAGGAGTGGAGAGTTAGTGCTTAATGAGACAGAGTTTTCAGTTTGGGATGATGAAGAGTTTAGAGATGGATGGTAGTAATTGTTGTGTAATGCTGTTAATGTTCTTAAAGCCAGCGAACTGCATGCTTAAATGTGATTAAGATGGTACATGTGATTTGTATTAACCACAATGTTTTTTTTTTCATATATCACTTTTACATTTTAAACATATTAAAAAAAAGAAGAAAGAAGGTGAGTCCATGACTGATATTGCCATAACTGCCACCAGGACAGAAGCTAAATTCTTCTGAGTAGCCTCACCTTGGCTGGGCAGTCTTTGTGACAGGTGTCTTGCAGGAGAGAAGCACACGAAGACTTTGTTTCAGGATAAACACAAGAGAAAAATTTTCTCCAAATTTAAAAACATGGCCATGGGAGCATGGGTCTTTAGGCAGTTTTGGCCCAGGAGGCCTGCTCCTCCTCCTCAGGGCACCTCCAGTCCTGGCCTGCAAAGAACTTCTGCTTCAAACAGTATGCCTATTCTTCCTGTGCCCTCCCCTGAGATGACACTCAGGGATACTATCCTGGATCCTCCACAGATTCCCTGGTCCTTCCACCTGTGCAGGAAGCTGTGCTCTCTGTTCAGGTATTCTAGCATAGGAAGGTCACCTTCTTAAATTTGTGAATTTAGTTTTGAATGGGCAGAACATAGTGTCTAAACATACAAGCTGCAGACAGACACAAAATTCCCAAGTTTACTAGGTGTGCATGCCTAAAATCCCAGGTACTCTGGAGACTGAGGCAGAAGGACTGAAAGTTCCAAGCCAGCATGAGCAACTTAGGAACTTGGGGTCTTAGTGAGACCCTGACACAAAACAAAAAATAAGAAGGGCTGGGGTTGTAGTTCAGTGTTAGTACACTCCGGGTTCAATCCCCACTACAAAAAATACAAATAATATAAATATATATGACACTCATGTGTCTGCTGCCCATTATGGAACTGGGACCGTGTCACTACTAGGCCACAGTGCCCTTGCAATGTCCCCTTCTGAGATGTCACCCAGTTTGGACCTGTGTTTATCATTCTCTGCTTGCCTTGACACAACATGTATGTGGTGTGGCCCTAGGCAAAACCACTGTGTCTTCCATGTTAGGAACTGGATATGGTGCTGTGACTTTTCTGTAGAGGCATGGATGAGTCTGCCCATGTTCCCATTGGTTGCTGGCCTCCCTTCACCTGGTGCCCATGTTGTGTTCTCATCAGATATGCCTGGTGCATGTAGCCACTGATGGTTCATAGACATGTGATGGCTCCCAGATTGGGCCACTGTGTGATACTCCCATGGATGGCATCTCTCCTGGGACACCGGCAGGCGTATTGTTGGTGCAATCCTAGGAAGTGACAGGTCAAAATTACATGCATCTAGGCCACACTTCCAAATGCTGTGATAAGGACACCCTGCCAGCAGTGGACAATTTTTTTGCTGCCACTTGATATGGTCATATCTTCCTCCCTGCCAACTCGATATGATCACATTTAAATTTTTTTGCCAGTTGGTGGTATGAAGCAACATCTCACTGTGGCTTTAATTTGCTTTAACCTGGTCATTCATACTGATGAACAGGCATCCTCTTTTGTGACACTCCTTTTCAGTCTTTCTTCATTTTTTCTATTAGTTGCTGACCTTTTCCTTATTGATTTGAAGGAACACATGATATATTATGGAGACTGAAGCATACACAAAACAATATAGATTGTGTCATTACAAGCATTATTGTGATGTAAATGTGCCTCCTCATCCTGAGGGAGAGATGTTCTGGGACAAAGCTATGGCTGATGGTCACTGTCCAAGGCTCCCAGAGCAGAGAAGAGAGCTCTTATAGCTGCAGACCTCTGAATGTGACCATATTTTTGGAGCAGTGGCCTGGGTCTGGTATTGTTGTGGGCTGCATATCGCAATGCCCTCAGCCTGGATCCTCCACACATTAGTCACATATATGAAAGTATGCATGAGTCCCCTAGAGGCAGCTACTCCTTAACTCAGTACAATATACTCTCAACTCAGTTGTTCACATGTGCAATGTGAATTTCAGGAGGAACTTAATTATATAGACATGTGTATCATATACACATGTATATGTGTGTATGTATATATGCATGCATTCATTAATGGGTTTCAAGTTTTCCAAAAGAATAGTCCAACTAGACTCATTATCAATGTGTTAGTTACCATATACAGTTCAAATTTTAAAAGACAAAAAGTAAACCAAAAAAATATATATGGTTTAAGATTTTTATAAAAACCAACTTCCAGGTGGCAAAGTGCTTGCCTAGCATATGTGAGACACTGGGTTCAATTCTCAGCACCACATAAAAATAAACAAATAAAATAAAGACATGCTTTCCAGCTACGATTACAAAAAAAAAAAAAAATGAAAACAAACAACTCCCATTTATAAAATTATGATACAACATATATTTGGAC